ACGCACGCAAGCACGCAAGCACGCACCGCACGCGCACACGCACACGCACACGCAACGCGCACGCACAACCACGCACACGCACACGCACACGCACACGCACACGCGCACGCGCACGCACACGCACGCACACGCACACGCACACGCACACGCACGCACACGCACGCGCACGCACACGCGCACACGCGCACACGCGCACACGCGCGCACACGCACACGCACACGCGCACGCACACGCACGCGCACGCGCACGCGCACGCGCAGGCACACGCACACGCGCACGCGCACGCGCACGCGCACGCACACGCACACGCACACGCACACGCACACGCACACGCACGCATTATTATTGCGGCCGGGACACCTGGCGTACTTTAATGTTAGGGGCTTTAGTAATACTATAGGTTAACATTACATTCCGAAGAAATGGGTCTTATCCGTTCCTGTTTGGCGCTAAGGCCTTCTTGGCCATCACCTTAGCAGAGAATAAGGCCTGGAATGTGTTGCCCGGAGGCTGTAAAGCTCTCATTCCGCGGATGAGCCGGATCAGTTACATATTCGTCCAATCCAGGACCAGGCAGTCCCAAATAGGTTCCTGCCTAATGGCAACGGTCCCGGGCAAGGGCAGAGCCCTCCCAGAATCTGGCCGCACACTGAGTATTTGTGGTAACCCACAATCCATTTCTTGTGACGAACATGGTATTGGGGAAGTCGAACTTTCGGTGGCCTTAGGAACCTGAACAGGTCACAAGCGAATATGAACCTGCGAGGAATGCGAAACGCTCACCTATGCACGAGAAAGATTACCAGCATGAAGCCTCATTTCCAAGGACAAGAAAAGTGCCCGACTTTCTTGTGAGTCCACCAGCTACCCGAATTGGATCCAGGTGCAACTCTGTAAATCTGCAGGTACGTTTTCACCCCAATATCACCTGGTCTTCGTTGGCCAGGACAGATGATATTGGTTCCTGGCCCCCTGCAAATCGAGGATAAATCTGGCAGTACGAAAGCAAAACTGATCGACATCCACGGACCCTTAGCTTAGAATCAGGGCTTCCACACACACACATGGCACGCACACGCACACGCACACGCACACGCACACGCACGCGCACGCGCACGCGCACGCGCACGCGCACGCGCACACACACACACACACACACACACACACACACACACACACACACACACACACACACACACACACACACACACACACACACACACACACACACACACACACCCACACACACACACACACACACACACACACACACACACCCACACACCACCCACCCACCCACCCACCCACCCACCCACCCACCACACCCACGCACCCACGCACGCACGCACGCACGCACGCACGCACGCACGCACGCACGCACGCACGCACATGGCACACAGGCAGAGTGCAAAGAAAACTTGTCCCGGCCTCTGGCTGCTCTGCATCTGCAACTGCAACTGTCGCAACAAAAAGTCTCTCGTCCTGGGAGTTTGAGCGTGCGAACTTCTGCGACATGTGTCGCGACATGCTGCAACTCTCCCTGCTTGGAAACGAACTCTCGACTTGCCTCATACCCTCCGGGGGCCACTGTCGCAAGAGCATTCTCCTCCTGATGGCTTGGGAACTTGGTAACAGCATGGAAAAGTATTGGGGGGTCGCAGTTTGCGAAGCCAGTCTCGAGTCACTCGCGTCACTTGGGGATCGGGATCCGAGAGTGTCGCAGCGTGCATCGGAGACTCTTGGGGAGGTTTAGAAGGGGGTGGGGAGGCAGGGTGGGGTCGACGTACAAGGCCACAAGTCGTTTGGACTGGGCTCCTGAAACGGCTGAAACGGCTGTACATGCCTTTGTGTAGGTTTGGTTGCGCAGCACGCAAGCGCCAAAGCGCCGAGGCCAAGAAGGAGCCCGAAGGATACAGCGCCCAACCTGCCACAGGACACTTTGGCAGTGTCCAAAATAGAGGTACCCGTTTTATACCCCAAATAGAATAGACTCCCCTTATAAAGATCCTCAAAAAGGATTACCCCTATAGTTTCGTAAACCCCCATATTGATGCCTTGTCTTGCAAAGGACACCGAGAATCTTCAGGGTACGATGCGCCCTGTCCCCTTTGAATGCATGCTGGGGCGGGCCAGATGGGGCGGCCCCGTGCAGCCGAGCAACACGACAGCAATCACCAGTGACTTCAAAGAGCTGGATGTTGACGTTGGACGCAGGTCAGGTGCCTGCAAGAGACATCTAGAGTCAATCTAGAGGTGCATGCACATGTAATTAGGGTGGTAGAAGATTTGGTGTTGACGACACTTTCGCTTTCCGTTCACAGCCGCCGGAATCTGACGTGCATGATCCTTGCTACCTTGTGAGAAGAAGCTGGTGCTTCAAACTTTTGGCGGCGCTCTGCAGGTAAAGCCTCAAAGGAGAGGACTAAAAAACATGCGCGCATTTCACCTGACAAACAGAACCCAAAAAGCCTCACGCCTTCGAACCGGGAGTTCGTAAAGCAAAGAACATAATCTGCCGTTGCAATGCCAACAACAATGTCAGTAACCCAGAGGATGAATTCCTTCGTCAGATCATAGAAAGAACCGAAACTCCGGGAATGTTCAAAACCAGGAATTCCCTGCACATCTGCTTCCAGCCTGCAAAATGGCGAACATGGTAAGATGATTGGTTGAGCACCAACTCCCTGGTCGCCTGGAATCCATAGCACGGGAAGCAAATTGGAAGGCATGTCCAGTCACCGAAGCGAGCTTCAGCCCTTTTGAAAAGTGGCTGGTATGCACTTGATGCAGGCAATTTTTCAAGGGTCACTACTCTTGCTCTACCTGCCAACCTCAGTGTGGTATACGATTTATGCAGGGTCAGCACCAACCGTGCCTCGTAACTTCAAACTTCCCTAAACCCTAAACCCTAAACCCTAAACCCTATAAACCCTAAACCCTAAACCCTAAACCCTACTTTTCAGCGATCCAGGGCTCTCAGTGCTCATGAAGGTGCCGCTATACGACCATCGCTGCACAACCTCCGGAGTTTGGCGCTGTGCAGTTTGGGCATGTCCGCAGTGGCAGTGTGTGGATGGCGATGGTGGAATTTTGTACGCTTTGCTGCGTTAATTCTTGATGAGAATAACAACAATATTGACAAGAATAATCATCGTAATCAGAATCACCATAACAAAAATAATCGCTAAACAAAAAACAATAGTAAAATACTGACAATAACGGATGCTACAGTGCAACTGCCACTGCCATGCTTGCAGTTGCTCAAGATGTTGCGCGTGCTACTCTCGTCTATGCAACTGCCTAAACCCTAAACCCTAAACCCTAAACCCTAAACCCTAAACCCTAAACCCTAAACCCTAAACCTTAAGGTCTATCGGAGCCCAAGGCTCCCGCGGCTCAAGAACGAAGCTGGGAAGGAGTTTTTTTTTACATTCAAGGGGTTCACTGAAGCTGACAGGTGCGGACCTTTTGTTCCAGTCCTGCGCTTAGGTATGTCGCCCAAGAGCAGAGGCTGAATCTAAGGACCAGCTTGTCGTAAACGCAGATATAGCACATGTCTTGTCTCGAACGAGGAAAAGCACCAGCTTTGCATACTCAGTTGTCAGACTGACATGTGGAGCCGAGAGCCTCATCAAAGTAGGCACACCGATCTTCGGGATGCGGGTCTGCATCTGACAGTCCTTGGGTTGGCAGCCACGAGTGCCGGAGAATGGACATGACCAGAGCAGCCCAACGTCGGGTATACCGACCTTGACTCTGAGATGCATTTCCTTTGCTGGCTTGGCAGGCTCTACCAAAGAGTCTTCTGTTCGAAAAATGGCTGCGCCACACTGCCGGTGGTGAGGTGGGGATGCGCATGCAAGACGCGTGGCGGGAATTTGAATTGTGCGCAACTTCTCAACTTGTGCGTATGCAGAGTGGAGTGCGAAACCGAAAAAATGTATAAAGATCCCATGCCCGAACGATTCTCAAACTTCTCCAGTTGAGAAATGACATGTGTCTGCACCCAAAACAACATGTCTGGCGAGACTTACACGGAGAACAAGCTCGAGACCCGAGAACGTCAGCAGCCGCAGTACACAAATGGTTCAAGACAGTGTGGCATCTATCCAAATCCGGCATTTCTACGCAATTCTACGTAATTCGTGTCGAAAGCAAATATTAGATGGAGGTTTCACGAAAATAAGCGACCCCTGATATAGACCCCCAAATAGTAGGAATCCCTTGTAATCAGGACCCCAAAACATTTGGGCAACTCCCACACATGATGCCAGGAAGCTTACAAAAATGGAATCGCGGAGCCCGAAGAGATCGACGGGCGCAAGGGTGAGGACCGACTCATTGTCCGCATTGGACTGATTGGACTGATTGGACTTCATCTCCTGTTGAACAGGAGGAGCTACCCTAAACTATAAAGCCCCTAAAGCCTCTAAACCCCCGAAAGTAAACCCCTAAACCACCTATGCGGCAGTCTTTGCTTAATTACCTGAAAGGTGCTATCATCGACTCCTGGAGGATGGAGATGTCCACGATCCCGGATTGGATGGTCACCTGAGTTATGCATCGTTCAGACTTAACTTTCTTAAAGGCTGCTGGAGGTTTTCTTGGAGCCGATGTGCCGCGCCTCTTCCAAGGCCCCGGCGCTACCCCGCTCATCGTTCAAAGGCAGCTTGCCAGCCAGAGCTGGGAACTGGAAAACCTGCAAAACAGCAGTACCTTGGCCGAGCAGCATCGACACCTCAGCTGACCCGTGGTTTAGGGTTTAGGGTTTAGGGTTTAGGGTTCAGGGTTTAGGGTTTAGGGTTTAGGGTTTAGGGTTTAGCTGCTCGACAGCTACCAGGCTCAGTGTGAGGATGTCTCAGTGCTTCCCGAGTGACAAGCCCTGCTGGCAGGGACACCTGAGAAAGCACATCTACGGGCTTCTTGCACGTCCCAAGGCCGCCGCTTGTGCGGCAGAAAAGTGCCGGCTAACTTCCGTGGTGCGGTTACCAGTGCGGTGGCGATGTGCCTTGTAATGCGATGAGACTCCTACTGCCATCGGGTAGCGTTAAAATCAAAAGCGGCAAAACAAGCTTTCCCTGAAGACCTCGTGTACGCTTTCTTAACCCCAAACCCTATAAACCCTAAACCCGAAACCCTAAACCCTAAACCCTAAGGAGGACTGCCAGTCAAGCTGCCACAATGGGTGAGTCGGCTGAAGTGTTGCCGAAAACGCTGCTCACCTGCACCACCTCGGAGGCTGCTGAAGACGACACCTACTCTCACAACTGAGGGTTTAGGGTTTAGGGTTTAGGGTTTTATAGGGTTTAGGGTGATTCAGATGAGTGACCATGTCGGCAGACATGTCGCTGAGCTCGAAGAAAGAAACCTGTGTAGTCAGCTTAGGCATGGAGCCTTTGACAGCTTGGCTATTCTGCTCAGCTTCACCTGCTTGATCAAGGGAGTCATACTGGGACCCCCCCCCCCCCGCCCCAGGTTGTACTTTTAAGAGCTTCCCTGTTCAAACGCTCAAAAGCTCTCAGGTGTCAGGCCCCATCTGGCTGCTGGTGGTCTTGTTTTCCTCGTAAGGGTGCTGTAATCCTAAACCCTAAACCCTAAACCCTAAACCCTAAACCCTAAACCCTAAACCCTAAACCCTAAACCCTAAACCTTAACCCTAAACCCTAAACCCTAAACCCTCCACCCTAAACCCTAATGTTCTGTTACTCACAAGCTTTTGCTTCCATCCTGGGGCATTGCATGCAGGATCTCTTGTCAATCTTTCTGAGCCTGTCACCGATGCATTGGCTGCTCTTTATGAGGTCAGGTGCTCATGCCTTAGCTACTTTAAACTTTAGGTATCTTTAGGTATCTTTAGTTGTTGGCAGTACTAGTAGCTGCTCCTCGCGTTCCACATGCTACGGCGTGCTGCAGCCTTGCCAACTAATCCGAACCCCAATGGCCTGCGGTGGACTTTGCACCGCTGCCCTCTCCCTGAAAACCCGTTCCTTCTGGCCTGGCCCATGGCAGTCTTCACAGTGCTGTTGCCTGTGGCAGAATTGGGGGTCGAACTTGCACGTGTCAGGATGTGTCACAAAAACAGCTGCACCTAAGACTCCCTGGAGTAGGGGGTGAGGGAATCATGTACCCTGTAGGGGATTCTATAGGGCACCTCTTCCCCTCATTCCCTTCTAAGAACCAGCCAGAACTAAGGTCCGAGTGGCCACCCTTGAGCATAGTGGCCGCAGCCTCTGCAGCAGCGCTCATGGCATCCTTGCAGGCGGGGCTCTCAAAGCTAAAGCTGGCTGAATGAGGGAAGGAGGTACCCAATTATGACCCCTTAAAGGGTACATGTTGAGGCACCCTATTTCATCCCTCAAAGGGTATATGTAGGGCCCCAATTCCCTCATTCCCTACTAAGAAGGCGTAACGGCAGTGCTCTTGCGGCGCTTGCCAGGGCATGTGTTTCGCTCGAACGACGACCTGCGACCGTATGAGCTTAGGTACTCTGTCACTGTGAGAGGGCTACTCCCTGGTTTCGGGCCGATGCTTTTTGAAACTGCAGGAGCATCGCGCTTCTCCCAAGGCGTGCATAAACTGTGTTGCCAACTCGCATCAAGGCTCCTCGATGCCTGATTGAAACATCGGGCGTCATGCGCTTGCTACTTGGAGGTTGAAATCAGAAGCTTTGAGGTAGTGGATCGACAACTTCCCACTGTATCTTCTTGAAGGTAGGCGTCTACAGCGGTGCTTCCATCCTGACCCCACAATGGTTTAACTGGCCAAGCGACAATGATAAGCTTGGAGAAGGGCACGTCAGACCTCACAATATCTCACGATAACTGACACTGTCACCTGCAGGCACCTTTGCATAACCTGGGCTTCTCAAGTCTTCGGAATGTCTCCAGCTGCACTACGTAGCAGCCCCACACATGCTCAGTCCGAATAAATGACGACTGAGCCAACGCAACACATTGAGCACTGAGCACGATGAACGAACGAACTGACTCAGTGCACGGCGGTGGCGGCGTCGAGGTCTGACAGGGAAGTGGGTATAGGTGCCAACCACCCCCATTCGAGGCATGCTGGCAGCACGCAAAGCAGACGTGTCGGTCGAGCTTCAGAAGCCCATTGTCAGTCTCCACTAAGCTCCACTATGGCAAAAAGTATGCACCGATTTTTTTGGAGATTGGGGATTTCCTGTGGACCCGTTACCATGGTCTCGCCCTGTTCTGGACCTTCTTGAGACCTTTCTGACTACGAGCTGTCTGCGTGGCATGCAGAATGTTCTTGAGGTCCAGTTTCGACCTCGCGACCCCTATGGCCTATAGGCCGCCCAGGACCCAGACCGGACTGCCCGGCATTGTGAACCCCACAGCATCAATGTTATCCGACAGGGCCGTCCATTGTCTGGCACTACAAGCTTCTCAAGATTCAGGAGCGAGCAGAGCAAAACTACATGAAGGGATTTCAGGGCAGCTTGCATCGCAAATATGTCGTCCCTAGTGTGCATGACGCCGCTGCCGATCGCCTTCGCAGTCGTCGGTAGTTGAACTCTCGTCTGCGTGGATGCCACCGGGATTCCTGCCTGATCGCACTCAACGGTATCAAGGTACAACATAGTTTCGGGGGTTTAGGGTTTCCGCAGTTTGGGCCAACGGTGACCGAACCTTGGGAGGGGCTCGATCACGCCCCACATGGCGTACCAAGACAATGGTTTTTCATGTAGATAGTAGAACCGAGACACGCCTACACGGTAAGAAAAGGAATCAGACAAGCAATCAGAAGCGTAGTAATTGCAATAGTCTAACATTTATAGTAGTAGTAAGCACATTACGCATACTAAGACTGGAATCGAAGTACTGAGGGTAAGAAAAATGAGAATAAGAGCAGTAGAAAAGTAATCGAAGAGGAACACCAACAGCAACAATAAGAGCAACAGCCATAGTGGTAATCGTTGTTGTTTTATTAAGGGTGGGGGTGCGTGTTGGAGCGGGGGAGGGGGGGGGGGTGGTGGTGGTGGGGTCCACGAAGGACTTCAACGGAAAATAGCTGCCACATAAGTCTTTCTGTTAAGCTGTTAAGCCCTGCAGATATCATCATCACCATCATCATCATCATCACCATCATCATGAAACCATCAAACCGTCAAACCATCAAACCATCAAATCATCAAACCATGAAATCATGAAATCATCAAATCATAAAATCATCAAATCATCAAATCATCAAATCATCAAATCATCATCATCATCATCATCATCATCATGATCTTCATCATCATCATCATGATCATCATCATCATCAGTCCACCAACCTGGCAATCTAGCAGGAAACTCATGAGAGATGCCAAAATTGTCCGGGACATGTATCGATTCACCTTTCACCGCTCGCCTGCGTGTTGACGGAGCCAATCTGGGACAATGCGGCGGCCATTCCGCTCTTGCCGCTGCTCACCTGCACTGACACGAAAATCATGGAAGCTGCTTAGGATTTATTACAATGATTACACGCTCAAGCGTTGTCAGACCGGCTGAAGGCACAGGGCACCTACATGCCACAGTGGACCCGTCTGAAGAACTTCATGGCTCGTGATTTGGTATTGCAACACACTGTCAAAGATCCCTCAAGAATGAAACATGCAGTCCACTTCACTCTACACCTGACTAGCCTTCTGAGCCTTGTTGCTTCTCCTAGCTCGATTAGCGGTGAAACAAGTTGCATTCTGCACGCCACGAACTGCGGTGTGCTGCTGGCGGTACTCCAAACTGCCAGGGCCTGATGCCCCTCCCACCCTAAACCCTAAACCCTATAAACGCCCTCTAGCCAGAGACGTCTGCGGCCTGCGTCTTCATCTGCTCCGCGACCACATCCGGAAGAACAGGATTGGCACCTTCAACTTCACAAAGCTTGGCAAACACTGTCGCCCCTGGCTACAGACTTTTTGGGTGCTCATTGGTGCTTCAAGTTGCTGTTGAACTCCGGCAGCTCTACACAACCTTTCAAGCAGCGCGCCTTGGTTGGCAATCCTGAACCTTGCATGCGGCGACGCTTTCTCGAGGGAGAGTTAAGCGGCAGGACATGTGTGTCGGGATGCCAACATGAATGTAGACATCCCTGTTCATTCTGCAGCGAAGCTCGGATTCGGCGTCTCATGTGTGAGTGAATGGAAGGACCATAGATGGCTGCCTGTCCCAGGCTGCCTGCTGTTACTGCTTTTTGGGGCCGCGTAGCGTCATCACGGCCTTGTTGGTGTTGGTCCGTCGAGGATCTGCGCTCGATGAGTCGGTAGACAGGCGCCGGGCTGTACCAGTCTTGAGTGCGATGGTGGTTGTGAACCTCGAATGTCGCGAGAAAAGGTCTTCAGATTAGATATGGGTGTTTGCTTTCTTCTGCAAGCTTCTGAGGCCAAACTGCTTAATTTTTGAAAGAATCAAAGGGGTTGCAGGGCTTTGGGTGCTGCGCGGTCTGCTCGAAAGGAAATGTGAAAGGCTCAACAAAGACTAAGACCCCGGTTGTCATGAAAGCGCCCTGCGAGAAGGGAAACGGCTGGGGCTTGATCCGGAAGCATAAAAACAAAAGCTGTATTAACGCTGAACTACCATGCCCATCTGCGGCTCGAGAGCGCAGTTTTTTCAGGACCGGTAAGGTGTGTTAGGGTTTAGTGACTAGTGTTACAGAACGCTGGCTTACACTTTTCAGCCTTGAGCAGCCTACCCTACGCTCGTCAATACCAGAGTGGCCCTGGTGGCAGTTGCAAGGCGCTATTCATCTTCATCCGCACGTCCTGGAGGGGGCGGGGGGTCTGGCTTTAGATTTTAAAATGATGAGTTTGTATGAAGTTCAGCGGGATCCATACGATTTGAAGAGTGATGAGTTGATGTGAGTCTAAAAGGGAAGCCCCGCCGAAAATTCGCATCGCCCGGATCTGTTTTCACAATTCCGGGGCTGCAAAATTTCGGGACCTTGTTATTCTCACAATTCCGCGGGGACGGGACTATTCAGGACGCAACATTAGTTTGAAGCGGCGGACATCATGATCCGCTCTGCATGCAGCTCTCCTGTATGTGAGCGTACGATGAGCAAGAGCAGTAGCAATGCATCCGCCTTTGACAACTAAGTTGCCCGTTGACAACTGTGGATGTCAACTGCGTGGCTGTGTTGGACAGCTTGCCCTGTCAAGTTCATGCAAAGGGTTTTCATGTTCTTCTGGCGCGATCTCACCTATGGTTTGCCCGTATCTTAAAATGGCGACGTCCTCCAGCGACCCCATGACGTCATCAAGCCGGCGACCACCCAAATCATAATCGAAGTACCTCGGACGTGACAGGACCGGCACATGAACCGGGAAAGTTGGAATCCACCAGCACACGCAGATCTCACAGACTGCGGTCGGGCACTGGTGTGCAGTTATAAAAACTTGCTGAGTCTGTCAATGTTTCATTCTTCGGGCGAGCCTTGTAAGCGCGAGCATGTGCCGAGATGCATATCAGACTGCCCTGCGACGTAAGAGTCGTGACCATCGCATCCAGAACCGTAGCCGTGGCTGCCGTAGCCGCGGCTGCCGTAGCCGCGGCTGCCGTAGCCGTTGCCGTAGCCGTTGCCGTAACCGTCCCCACAGCCGTATCCGTAACCGGAACCACCGACGGTGCTGCAAAAGCCGTTCGCATCACATTCGATGAAGTAGAGGTCCTTGCAGCACGTGGCCCATGTATGCTCATCGTTATCGAATGCTGCAAATCTGCCTGTGAATGGCTTGCTGTAAGCTTTGCAGCTGGCTTAGCAGAGGGTCGGTCCATTTGTAGTACTACTATGGAATTTGCTACCTAAAAACCGCGCTGCGTAGGGTTTTGGGGTACCTAATTCCATCATAGTACTATACAAGTGGACCCTAAACCCTAAACCCTAAGCCCTAAACCCTAAACCCTAAACCCCCTAGGGAAGCTCCATGGTGGCCCCTCTCTGCCTCGCAGTAGTCTGCTGTAGGGATCACAGAGCCCGAAGGGCCTCAAGCCGGCTGACTCAAAGAGGCTTTTAGGGTTTAGGGTTTTTTGGGTTTAGGGTTTAGGGTTTAGGGCTGACTCAAAGACTTGGGATGGGATTAGGGGGACCCTTGGAGATGTAGACCCTCTGAATAAGGTCCCTGTTTAAGAGAGTTCCCGTTTATCCTACCTAGGAAAAGATGCTTTTTCCGGTCTCAGTGGAGCGGAAAAACACGTGGCCACACCAGTGCCAGCTGTGACATGTGGTTCCATGAGGCTGCAAACCCTAAACCCTAGTAACCCTTTTTGCAACTGAGACTTGGTGGAACCCAAAACCCTCTCTCTCTCCCTCTCCCCCACGCATGACCCCCCCGAAGGGAGGCCGCCCCCAGGGGCGCGTGCGATGTCCTGGTCCTGTCACTCTCTCTCTCTCTCTCTCTCTCTCTCTCTCTCTCTCTCTCGCTCGCAGACTCGGGAATCCGTCAAAACCCTAAACCAATCAAACTTCCAGACTCTCTGACTCTCTCAGCTGAGAAGCACTGTTGCATGTTCTGCCCAGGTGGGCAATAGTCAGGATCATTCGGGTCCCCACAGCCTCGGTCCACTTTGAGGCATGGAGCATTTTCCGAGTTTGGGGTCATGATTCTTGTGTGGCCCTGCGCCGGCTGAAGCCGCTCGCCACTTTCGAGTTGTATGAAAGTAAGGTCCTTAACCAGTGCTTCTAGCTAGCTTTGAAAGGAACCAAAGACGCGAAATCCCAGAAGGTTGACAGGGGATTGCGAGCCTTGTGTGGTGATTTAGAGGCTTTCGCGTCTATATCGCGCAGCACATTAAAACATCACAAGACCGCCGCAACACATCTCGGAACCTTGGAACACCAAACATGGCCTGAAAACCAGCAACTTAAAAATTCATAGCTGTCGCATTGGATATGACATGCGGCTGCCTGTTTGGATCCGTAACTTTGTCCACGAGGCTGATGAACTCTGACTGGAAGGACCCGTCGGTGTTGAGATTCGTCCTCAGTACTCTCTCAGCGGCGCAAACGCCCCATGCCTCCGAAGCACCCCCCCCGACAGATCTTTCGGTTCCTAAGTGGCCCTGACTAAACCCTAAACCCTAAACCCTAAACCCTAAACCCTACACCCTAAACCCTAAACCCTAAACCCTAAACCCTACACCCTAAACCCTAAACCCTAAACCCTAAACCCTAAACCCTAAACCCTAACCCTAAACCCTAAACCCTAAACCCTAAATATGGAAAGGCGGCTGAACGCAGGTCGTGCGGCCAGAAGCTTCCTGCAAGCTGAGAATTCATCCCCACACGAACCGAAGAACCATGGTCGGACTCACTGCACAAAGGGTTTAGGGTTTAGGGTTTAGGGTTTAGGGTTTAGGGTTTAGGGTTTAGGGTAAAGGGAGGTTTCTTGGCTTCCTTTTGATCATTCGATTTTCAAGAGAACCGCATTTTAACTTGCCAGAGGATCCAGACTCTAGACTCTAGACCGTCACCCGTGTGCGAATACATTTCTACAGGGAGAGGATGTTCTCTACCTTCTGATGTGTAGGATTTAAAAGGTCTAGTAGCTCCTCATGTTTTTTTGGGCAGCATATGCAGCCCCTCCTAGGGCGAGATTCCGAGCCTCCTCCGGTGTGCAGGGCGTGGGGCATCGATTGCGCAATTGGCCTTGCAGTCTCTCAGGGTTTAGGGTTTAGGGTTTAGGGTTTAGGGTTTAGGGTAACCAAAACCACAACAGCTGCAACAGCAAGACTGCGACACAGTGCGAACAAGCTGCCGGCCCATTCAGCAATGCAAGTTACTTTCTGCGGGTCCTTGTGATGCTGGCGGAGCAAGAAATGAAGAAGACCAGGGACACAACGTGCCGTAGGTCTCACTTGCACGCGCAGAAGAATGGATAAGGATGCGTTCTCGAGTTCACTGTTTGCAATATCCGACCCTCGTGGTCGTTACCAACGCACGGAGGGGTCATGATTGAAGGACCCACAAAGCCTAAACCCTAAACCCTAAACCCTCAAATGCAGCAGGCATCGTTGCGATCAGTGCATTCTTGCCTTGGAATCGCAGGCTGCAGCAAGTCCAAAAAACAACGATACTAAAGCGAGATGCTTGAAAACTCTCCCTAAAGCCTAAAGCCTAAACCCTAAATCCTAAACTCCTAAACCCGAAAAAACCCTAAGCCCTGAACCCTAAACCTCGGAGCCAAAGATGGCACCTTTAAATGCTCCTTTGTCACGTTGGGCCATGACCAGCCTGAGGCCCCTCAATAATCTAAGTCTTTGCGGCACTGAGGATATGTTGGGGTCTGCAACATGCAAATGCTCAAGGTCTCAGTGGTTTCTCAACACAAGCCCCTTTAAAGCTTTAAATGCTAGTGTTCTTGCGACTTGCCTTCCGTTCTGCTCTTGTTCGGGCGAGTGTACAAAGCCCCACGAGTTAGCCAACCGCACATTCGATACCCTAAACCCTTTTTTTTTGCATCCGGGCTTGGGAAGTCGGCCGGGGGAAGTTGTTTCACGAGAGTCAAAAGGCTTCACAAACTAACTATTACGCTGTTACCCTAAACCCTAAGCCCTAAACCCTAAACCCTAAACCCGCAACATTTCGCAACCACAAGGGAAACTGGATGCCAGGGGGCGAGTTCGCGCCGCAGGGGCAGTCAACACCAATGGGCACGCACAAAGTGGTCAGGGTCGACATCTTGCCTCGCGGCTGGGGTTTAGGGTTTAGGGTTTAGGGTTTAGGGTTTAGGCTTTAGGGTTTAGGGGTTCAATCAAGCTTCTTGAACATCTTGGACTTGCAGCCAATGAGGTAATGAATCAGCAGAGAGTATATACTTGCATAAACGAGGCAACCCAAAATCTTATCGTGCCTTTGGAATGCCAAGCATTCAACGGCCAAGTGCAGAATTTCGAACGCACGTGCTGAGCTCTCAGTTCCAAACACTCAACTCGTGCGTCCCATGACGCCTTCAGGCGTATAGTCCTGCAGAAGACTGCTCAACATGCTGGATGCGAATGGATAAGAAAAACGCTTCTTGATTCTGCTAATGGTTCATGTCTGTAGTGCGAATTCCGAGACGGACAACAGCTTCCTAGGCATGCGCCAGGCACGTCGCACACTGGATGCAAGAAAGCGCTAAACAACAAATTCGGGTCGGCCTTTGGCCGTGTGGCGCCAGAAGTTCCCTATCGGACCCCCTGATTCCCCTCCACTAATCCCCTTTGTGGACCCCCAAACGCTGCCAACCCAACTCCCTTTGGTGAGTGTCGGTGTTTTCCATGGAGCACTGAAACATTCACGATAATGAAGCTCTACCCGCCCGATCCGCCCACACGAAATGTAACATTACCAGCCTCACGAACTCGGTTCTTCTGGCGTAATCATGACGATGTGGCGGCCACGCGGCTATATAAAACAAGAATCAGTGAGCGCAGTACAGGTATCGCACATTCAATCGCCAACTGCGTGAGTGTGTGACTCCAAAAAATCAAAACAGGAGACTCTTGGCTCGTCTCCGTCCTTTTTTCAGCCAAAAGTTCAAAACTACGATCCGCGCCATCTGTGCTGGGGCCAAGTACTTGTTGATTGCAGGTGAATGCTCAAAACCGGGTGCCTTCCTGCAGCGTACCGGCTCCCATGCACCGAAATGCACTACCGCGAAGCCCGCCATGTCCAGCAACAAACACAGCTCACGAGACAAGGAAACTGCAGCACCAGGGGAAGAGGCAGTCGCATTCAGTGTCGAGGTAGCAACTTCCCCTCTGACCCCACGGAGGCCGGCCCTGGTTCCATGTGGAAGTCACTGGACTAGAGGATCCCCCTCCCCGGCTTTTGAAAACCCTACAGTAAGATCCTCCTCCCCCTCCCCCCCTCCTCTCCCCCCCTAGCCCCCCTCCCCCCCCGCGAGTACGAGATACTACAACCAAAACGGAGTTATTACAACCAAAAACCGGGATGTCACAACTGCTGTCGGTTTGAGGGCAAACCAGAAACCGCGATATCACAACCGCTTATTAAGGTTACAAGTTACCAACATTCCAAACCAGAGTTGGGGTCCTAACAGAACACCAAGCAACTTTTAAAACATCTTCAGTTGTGATATCCCTCATCTGCCTGGACCCTGTCCTCCCTGGGTTGTCTAAGCCCTATCAGCGCTGAGAGGAGGGGGAGAGGGGGGGAGAGGAGGGCGAGGCCACATCTTCGAGATTGAGTAAAAAATGCTCAGAGGCAAAAGCACAGCTGCAGATTTTGCAGAGAGCGCTCGATGCCACAAGAGGCTTTCGTTTCTCACTGATTTTACATGTGATTGCCCAGTGACTTTTTGTGGTTTCCTCATGGCTTTTATGTGTTGTGGGCCACAGAATTCCCTACACCAGGAGCTTGTATAAATTAATTTTCTTGGTTTCTGCAACATTGATTGTTTTCATGTGTGGTTATATGTGGTTACGCACTGATTTCATGATTTCTCTTGATGATTATGTGCTGCGGGCCACAGAAGTCCCTTCGTCAGGAGCTTGTAAAAATGAACTTACTTCGTTTCTGCAGCATTGATGGCTTCCATATGTGATTGCCCAATGGTTTCGTGGTTTTCTCATCGTGTTTGAGATATCCACCAACATGCAAGGCACTGGTTGTGCTATCCGCGTTCTCAGGCCTCCTCAGTTGTAATAACAACTTTCTTGGTTTTGGTTTCCTCCAACTGGTTGTGTATTGGTTGTGTTATCCTTTAATCTCCTCCCCCCCTTGCCTCTTGGAGTTTCAGTCTCTTTCGGAATCTTTCTCGAGGTTCCTTCCCTTTTTTGGGGGAGCTTCCTCCTTTCTCACCTTTCCAGATCGGCCAGGGAGTTCCTTTCTCTTGGGAAAGCCTTCCCCATTCTTGCCTTTCTTGCGCCGCGGGTCCGGTCCTGGGATTATCCAAGCCACGCTTCTTCGCCTGTTGACGTTCTTTTCGGAAATCTGCCTCAACGTCCTTCTTCTTAAGCAGCGGCGGGTGCGAATCATCATCTGATCAGAAACTTATCATCCTTCCTGGTGTGCAGGAGGATCCGACATGCGATTCTGGTACTCGTGGTCTCTTTTGTGCCGCCCATGCTGTGGACCGGGAGGGGGGGGGGGGCGTCGGTCCACCCGACAGTGGTCTCGATGTCCTTGTACGTAAATGAACCGAAATTTTCCGAGCAGACCTGATTCTCTATCAGGAGGCGGCTAAAGAGCCGCCTCGGGCACCGGTTGGTCAGCAAATGTCTGCCAGGGTTTAGGGTTTAGGGTTTAAGGGTTAAGGGTTAAGGGTTTAGGGTTCACTACATGCCCCAGCTCTGACCGAATTGCTCGCGCCAACCTCCCCCGCCCCTCCCTGGTTTTGGGCTGAGGGTTTAGGGCCTGCAGTCCTGAACATCACAGACCGTCTCGGATTCACGGCACGGGCACACCAAGGCGGCGGCTGATCTGGGCACATGGATCCCAAACCAACCGGGCCGGGGGAGTTGTTTTTGAATTTGCTGAGGTATGCTATGTGAGATGACTGCTTGATACTGTTGCTTGGGGCATGTTTTGTTTCTTTGCTTGACATTCTGCGGGTGTTTAGTTTATTCTCGGTCAGTCTCGGGCCCCCCTTAATCGAGGGTTTGATTTTATTCTGCGGCAGTCTGGGTGGGACTAATTAGGGTTCAAAAAGGGCTCAAGGTTCAGCCGAAACAGAAGAGCCAGCAATACCATCGGAATCTGACTTGCCGAGACGCGGAAGCAAGCAAGCAGGCGAGCTGGGACATCGCATTGTGTTTTGTCCGCACCTGCGGGCTACAACAGCTAGTCTTGCTGCATCTGTCGCATTCCGTTGCATGAGACACCAGCTTTAAACAACTGCCCTGGGATTGTGGAAGCATTCTAACGACTCCTTGACATCAGTTAGTTTGTTGATTCTTCGTGCCACACCGCACTTTGGATCGAATCCGTTCATTGGGCACTGATGTGCAGGAGCCCGCAAAAAACGTCCTTGCGGTGTGCACTGCTCGCTGAACGGAGTCCCAAGGATAGGGGGATGCTAAAACGTAGTACGCAGAGGGCAGATTGCAAACGCCCATTGTGTCACAACCTCAGCCACACCGTGCAAGCCCTACACCGTTGCCGCCGCACGGGCACGGGCACAGGGCATCGTCCGACACGCAGACCTGTCGCTCACCTGGGATATGCAGCCTAAGCCTGACCCTGGTCAAACCATGTCCGCCTTGCCATGCTTTACAAGTTTCGCCCTCCAGGTAGCACATGTGGTTAATGGGAACACTGGGCTGGGCACTGATGAGTTGTTCATCCTCAGAGAAGTCCTGGACGAAACCTCAGAAGGTCTATATAGGCCACAGTCAAGCATGCTGCGTGTTCTTCCCGATTCCTCTGAGGCTACATGTACACCGGCTTTCTTGGGTTTCGTCTAGACGAGTTTCGCAAAGAATGCTGGTGCCACAGGGCACAAGTCGTCAGACTTCTGTCAGCTAGGCGCTTCGTGCAAGTCTTCCTGAAACGCAGGCATGTGTTCAACGAGTTCAAGGCGCTGGGATGCGCTGGGCCCGTGGCATTTCTTCTGACCATTGCCGCAGAAGAGCGGGCACTCCTCCCCCTGCCGATGAAGTGTAGCTGTGGCGACTCTTTTCGTAACACGTCTGCATTTGAGATAAAGCTTTGGGGAGAAGATGAATTCTTTCTTTGGCTGCTAGAACTTGCCTTCTTTGAATTGTTTGAAAGCTAGCATGTCAACAGCGAGCTAGCTGTTCACTTTTTGCTGGCATGTGGAAGGAACGTTCTAGCACCTAATCCTGCACGCCTCGTGTGGGTATTTCCCAAAATAAGGGTACCCCCATATACCCCAATTCACAAAATTTCCCTGAAAAGGATTTAAAAAAGGGTACCCCCTAAACCCTAAACCCTAAACCCTAAAACCCTAAACCCTAAACCCTAAACCCCCATGTGGTATGTGGTGAGCTTGCTCCAAGATCTTCAACCATCCTCAAATCGGCAATTTTCGGGCCTTGGATCGCCAGCAACCACCCGTTAGAAGGTTTCCGATCTGATGGTCCTTTTTTGGGGGGAGCCCTACTCCTAAACCCTATAAACCCTAAACCCTAAACCCTGAACCTTGAACCCTAAACCCTAAACCCTAAACCCTAAACCCAAAAATGGGTACCCAAAAAGGGACCCAAACAAGGAAGCTTTCGACGCAGCTTCCCCTGGGCCTTGAATCGGCAGCCTGCTCCAGGGCAGGACTTGGCCTCGTCGCAAGTGGATCTATGATTAGGGTTTAGGGCTTGGTTTGGGGTTTGGGGTTTGGGGTTTGGGGTTTGGGGTTTGGGGTTTGGGGTTTGGGGTTTGGGGTTTGGGGTTTGGGGTTTGGGGTTTGGGGTTTGGGGTTTGGGGTTTGGGGTTTTTTTTTTGCCACCCGCCTAGCTGACACTCAGGCCACGTTGCAGGGACCAATACCGGTAATATGATCTTCCATCCAAAGGTTTGGGGTTTAGGGTTTAGGGTTTAGGGCGTGCCAAACGGAAGCGCGCTTTGGGAGCGCGCGGTAGTCTGCAGACTCCATGCGTTCACACTCCAGGATCCCGTTCTGCCTTGCGTTGCCCCTGCTTCAGAGAATCCTTGTCCAACAAGATGCTACAGTAACAGTGCTGCAGTGCAGGGAACAAAGAGAAGCCTCGAAGGCATGCAGCATGCACGATGGACAATCAGCAAAGGCAGTTGTGGCACCCGGGCCAGTCCTCAAGCAGGCCACATCAGGCCACGGCCCTAAACCCTAAACCCTAAACCCTAAACCCTAAACCCTAAACCCTAAACCCTAAACCCTAAACCCTAAACCTATATCTCTGATGTTTTTACATCGCTATTTGCTATACCCGGCCCACTTTCCCGGCCTCTGTTCCACAAGGGCATGCATCATAATCGGCTGCACAGCCAACCGACGGCTGGACCGAGCCTGCGAGTCCCCATTCTTTCGTATAATTTGAGTCGTTACCCTAAACCCTAAACCCTAAACCCTAAACCCTAAACCCTAAACCCTAAACTTTGAACCCTAAACCGTTACTTCGGGAGGCAAGCGGCACTGGTAAGGTCAGTCTTGAGAGCTGCTTCGGGGGAACGAGTCTGGAGTTTAGAGATATCGATAGGAATGTACCCTATGTAATCCCTTAAAGGGTATATGTAGGGCCCCAATTCCTTCATTCCCTGCTAAACACCATCCTCAAAGCTCGCTGTTCAATTCGGAGTCCACTCTCGGTGCAGCGAGGGACGAAGCGATGAGCCCTCCGGCGAGTAGTTCACCACCAGCGGGCAAGCGACCTGCAGGGTAATTTTTGTTTGTTTTGGGGGGTTTCGGGTTTAGCATGTAGGGTTTAAGGGGGCATACCTACATTGGCGTGCCAACAGTCCTGTCGGAATCCATTGGTGATTCTTGTGGCCAGTTCAGCATGAACTCGTCAGCTGTTCCCTGCGGAACTTTTGGGTCTAGGGTGTGCCTGACTGCCTAATTCTGATAGCCTCCGCAAGACCTAAGCTACTTGCATGTGCTAAATCCGAAATCGTCTCTCGCTGATAGGGTGAACGTGATGCAGCGTGGACCCCCAACTTTGTGAAGTAGGCTGTTGAACTGACACTGGGCAACTGATTGCAGGCTGCAAGATGCCCGGGGAACCTCCCCTTCTGGGCAGTCTGGCTTGCAGTAGCCTGGCTCGGTGGAGCGGGTATGGATTGCTATGTCTAGACCCCATGCGAGGTCGGAGACCTAGGCTTCGCTTGCCAGGTGAGAGAAACGCACCGGACCCTGAGTGCCTAGAGCCGTCAAGCAGGCAAAACATGCAGGAGCTGTCGTGAGAACGCCAATGAACACCTACCTCAAGCCAGCACAGAGAGGCCTCCATTTAGTGGCAGGCATTGGCGGGTCGCCCGAGAAAACGCCGTGGCAGCCTGACCCAAACCCCGGACCAAAGCCAAACGATGCTACAATCCCCTTCAGGTTGGAATGTTGTCAGAAGCATGTTCCGCAAAAATCATGGCCGCAGGAAGATCCACAAGGGAAGTGCCCGAAATGATGAATGCAGGTTCCTGGTACCAACTAGTCGGCTGAAAACGGCAGAACATGGACCTTCTGGCACAAGAAGGAGTTCTGGCCCTTGCACTCGTTCCAGCAGTTGGTCGACTGAGGCGCCGTGTGCGGGTGCCCGTGTGGAGCTGTTCTCGGGACCAATTGCGGGGGTCCTCAAATCTCCTAAGCCTATCTACTTACTGCTGGTTAGCAGGGAATGAGGCAATTCGGACCCCATATATACCCTCTAAGGGATTAAAAAGGCTACCTCATGAGGCTCCATGTACCTACATAAGGAATACTTGGGCCTAAAAGTCTTTCCTACATAAGGACTTTTGGGCCCAAGTATATAAAAATACGGTACATGGACCCTTAGGGTAAGCCTAAGCTTCCGATGAGCTCGTCCGTTATAGTGTGCCATAGTGCGTTGAAATCCTTTGCATGAAAGTGACGGAATGTGAGAAGAATAACTCATGGAGGCAATGCCGCGCCCTACAAGTAGCTCAAATGACCCTAAGCGCCCTAAAGGGCCCTAAGAAAGCCGAAAGCCTTCAGAAGACCTAAGAAGTCTCAGAGGCCAAGGCCGAACGGCTCCGGGAGCTTACAACCCGGCTTAGGTTCTCAGGATGCCTCTGAAGCTGTGGCTTAAGCTGAGTGGCCCGCATAGACCCTAAGGCCTAAGGGCCTTAAAGGGCCCTAAAGGGCCTTAAAGGGCCCTAAAGCATCCTAAAGGGCCCTAAAGGGCCCTAAGGGGCCCCTGAGGGGTCCTAAAACCCCAACACTTTGCAGGTTTGGGCCGTCGACGGCTTGACGTGAATCCAGGTGGCACACTCCTTCCAGGAAGCCAGGAAGTTGCCTTCGGAGTCGAAGCCTTCAAAACGCAAGTCTCTTTCTGCCTGCTGACTGCTGAAAGTCGACACGTCCGGGCGTATGAGAGTTTCCTCGTTTTCCTCAAAGCCGTCCCTGAAGCCCCGCCTCGTCAACTGCTTCCTCACAAATCACTTTATGTTCAGCAAGGTGGCTTTTGTGCTCGCACTCTTGCTCATCATTCCCGCATTGGACAGGGCAGCGGTAAGCAACTCGGCAGAGCTCCAGATGCCAAACCGCACATACAGCATTTCGCATGGTCATATGATTTTCAACATCGTTGTCGTAGCTGCAACTCACACACAAACAGCCGTAGGCGACCCTTTGTAAGTGGAGCGTTTCTGATATCAAGCAGACCTGAAATCCTGAGTTCCATCCTAGACCCTAACATTCCGGAAAGTCTCGCACTGCATCAGGCACCGAACCAACAGTATACACGTGCGCACACTTGAAAGCCGTTCTTGATGCCCGGACATCCAGTTGCGAAGTCCACTCGCGGAGCGCAAAACTCTTCCTCGGTCATGAGAAGGGGGGGGGGGGGAGCTCATGCCGCAGGAAGCCTCATGTAGGTACTGTATAAGGGCCAGAACAGCACATGCCGTGGGTGATCCATGTCTCGCGCCACATGCAAGCGCTCTTCCGGCGAATCCAGCGGCTTTTACGGAGGATATCGAAGCTGTGCGTCTGCTGCGAACCCCGGGCTTTGCCGAGGTGCTCGGCGGGTGATGCACCGCTGCGCATTCAAGCCGCAGGGGCAAGGATCATCGGACGGGACGCAGACCTCGAGGACCTCCCCTCGTTGGCCATCTTCGCTGAAGTCCTTCGCTGATCAGACATGGTGCAGAGCCGTAGTGTGGGCAGCAAGGTTCTGTAGTGAACCAGGAAAACCCTCCAAGAACGAAGAGTGGCAGCCACACCCCATTATGCATGCCAAAGCAGCATGGGATGGAAGGCGAAGGCTCAACGACCCGTGAAGACTATGGGTCTTCCCATGCTGGGCTCTGTGGTAACAACCTCTTGCAGCTGGGGCTCGACAACGTCACATTTCTTCTCCGTCGCCTGGACAAGTGGCATCTGCCGCATGCCCTCGTAAAGGGATCCCGAAGGTGGCATGCTGACATGCAAAAAGGGAGAAAAACCTACCTGCGATGCGGAGGGCAACATATTCTTTTGCACTGGCTTCCAGTATCTTCTTGCTGGTCAGGACCCTGGGTTCATGTGAAGATCTCGACACCCTTCTACGCCCACCGCATCCCTGACCCATCTTGAACCCTGTCTCCGTCTCCTGGCAACTGACTGGACAGGGCCGCGATGTTGGCTGGCAGGCTTCCCTTGGCTGCCTGAAAAGAGGACTGCAAGATTCAGCCTTCCTCACATAGTTGTTCAGCTTAGTTGTGGGCCCTTCATGTGGATAAAGCTGCAGACTTCGGGCTTCTACTCCTTTGCAAGATGCCGAGAGGTATGGTGCAGCTGAGCCCACGGCCCCTGCTCATCCTGGGCACAGGGAAAAGGAAGTTGCTCTGAGATGGTTGCAGCTTCTTACCGCTTCCACTTCTCAACTTAAGTCTTATATTATTGGATTTGCTACAGTCATTCGTCTCTACTGACATTGGAGTCGTCCTACCCCTGCGATTCTCTGATAGGCCGCCCTTCGATGGGATCGTGAGCTTCGTTTCCAAGGACAAATTGAGCAAAGGCTCCGTCCATCTGCACAGCTTGGCATTCTGGCTGCAGGGACAAGACCTGAAAACGGAAGCACTCAGGTTCACGCGCTCTTACGGAGATCCCTACACCCTTGCCCTCAGGCCCGAAATGGCCCAAACACCTTATTATATACGAAGGCCTTTGGGCCCAAAAACCCTACAAAAAAGAGCCCGTTTAGGGTTTAGGGTTTAGGGTTTAGGGTTTAGGGTTTAGGGTTTAGGGTTTAGGGTTCACTGCACCCGGGCGGCCGGGATATGGGCACGCACGTCTCGGAGCCCCCCACGCTGAAGTCTGGGGCACCTCGGCTCGCTTCGGGGGACTTCAGGGTCAAGCGAAGCACTCAAGTGGGGATGTCCCCCTTATACTCAGAGTCCTTAGTTTAGGGACTAGAATAGGGGGGGGGTACGAGAATTATTAGTAAGGACTGTTCGTATTAAGGGGGGGAAACATCCCAACACTCACCACTATGCGGAGTCATCTCGCTGCCGGGGCGCCCTCGGCCGTGAAGGAGATCGGCACACATTTCTTCTCAGTGGGGCCGCAGGTCAATGGGCAGCCAAGACTGGCCTTCGTTGGACTTGTCTTTGCTGTTACCATCTCTGCGGTCCGTGCCCTAACTTGCTTCGCCAAAAGGGTTTAGGGTTTAGGATTTAGGGTTTAGGGTTTAGGGTTGCCAACGAACAACGAGCTGAAAGCCTCAACCTTCTGGCGGCTGAAAGAAGACATTGGTTGCTATCCGGGGCTGGAGATTTTCGCTGTTTAGGTTCTGCATCCTGGACACATCCAATTCTTCACACATGGCTGTCGCTCGCAGCCAACACTCGTGTGCAATGCCATGATCATCAGCAAATCAACATGTGTTTTAAGGATGCTGTCGCGAGACCTGAGCCCGAAACTCCCAACGTCTGCCGACTGTCAATTTGAATGTCCAACGGAATTTCAAGTGCCAAGTGGCTTTCTCGCAGAAAGGCTTTCCTCCTTGGCTGGCCGGGCATTGGACAGCATTCTCCCCGCAGCCGCAGTTGTAGGGATCGCCACCTTCCAGCCGAGAGCCAGGATGGGTCCCCCCCCCCCCCACATGTGCTCACTTGAGGGCACATGCAAACAGGCGCACAGAATCCCAGTCCGCTCTCCATGATAACAAGGCACATACGGAGGTGAAGTAGCGCTCGCCCTTCGAGTCGTAGTTCACCTCTTATAAAGGCTTAGTTTCTGTGTGCGCTGTGCGTGATTCTGCAGTGTGTTATTGCCCATTGCTTGGGAACCTCAAGTCGGGCTGAGCACTCCTTGGGCCAAGTGGCTAAGTGGCAGACGCCCTCGTAGGCACCGCAGACCAGGGGGCAGGTGGCCGCGACACCGAAGACGCAGGTCTCCCTGCCGCCATCTGAGGGACACCTCCGAAAACGGAACGATGTTGCCGAAGGCTTGCTGACGACTTCTAAGCGCGATTAAGATCGATCTAGCACCTCGAGCATGCGCACATGGTTACTTAACTCAGACACCAGTGTGCATTTGCACGTCACCACACCATGTCTGCAGGGCCATGTGGCATCTGCACTTTCATTGTGGCGTCGCTCGCGCCCCAGCTGCCGGGGAATGACAGAATGACAAACATTCCAAATGTGAACTGACGAAGTTGCAGGACCTACAGACACACTCGGCGTTGCGCGTAGAGATGTCGCACACGCAAGATCACTCGCGATGCACAACACAATATCGGGGCCAATGAGTTGACAGGATGTGGCAGCATGTGGAGCAAAAGGTGTGTGATCGCAAAGTGTGTGATGCTGTTCAGTGCCGACAGGCGCGTGACCACGGAGTTTCCCCTCCGGGCAATCTTGGAAGTACAAGAGGCCCCGACGGCGACAATTCTCTTTAGGAAGGTGTCGGGTTAAAGAAGATCTAGAAAAGAGGGGTGTGTGTGTGTGTGTGTATGTGTGTGTGCCACTTCCCTGACATGCAGGAATATTCAGTATGTCTGCCGGGGCAGACCGCGCCAGAACGTGCAGCAAAGCCATCTTTGAGTCAAAACTACGAGTAACTAGATGATGAAGGGCCTGCGCCACACTTTGCACCCCGGACCCCAAATGTCAACCTCAACCCACCGCAAAGCTACCAGCAAAGGCACTTGGTCATGGTGGTCAGGTCGCATTCTGTGGGGCAGCTCCTGGGTTGATATGGGTTGATGAGCAGAGCTTTCGTTTGTCTGGGTGTGTTCAAGCTGCCCGGCCACGAGCCAGAACTCGGGCCTTAGGGTTTAGGGTTTCTCTCTCTGCCGCTGCATCCCAAAGGTCCCACTGCGTGAGGCAGCCAAACACCCACTCAGATTAGCAGGCGTGAAACATTCAAGCCATGTCATGCCGGAGCATCAAGCTGAATGGCGACCTCAGATGCCTCCACCTCAGCCTTCACTTTCTCCAACCACGGCCCAGGACATTCAGACATTTCTATCACTACCTTCTGTCGCTCAGCATTCTCATCACATATCGGACACATTTCTCTGCAAGTCGGAAGCAAAACATCATCACATAGAAAGAGGCGAACATAGAACGTGTGTTGCATAATGTTCTCCAGGACGCAGCGCAGGATCCCCCGCACAACCGCGGCAGTTGCCTGCACATCCACTGCCGCACGAACACCCAGCCGTCCCTTCTTCGCAAGGTCAGCAGGCAAACGGCACCACGCCGAATCTGCAGAAACCACCACTCGCCACCAAAGAATGTACCCTGAACATCTCGCCAGCGCAAACCACAATATGCATCACGCACTGCTTGAAAACCCACATTTCCGCCAGCTGATTTCATCACCAACAGGGACTGGAGCCACCGAACTCGCATGGACTGCCAACACACTCTATCATGGGCAGCGTCCGCATCGACGCCATGTTGCTTGAGGAAATTCTGAAGGGCACGGTGCCCAATGTTCTGCGGCCCCGTGCGAACCCCGCGCGCTCCCGCCTGTCTGTGCGCAGAGTGGAAAGAGCGCAGTGCCGAACCAGTGAGGTCATTCCATCCACGTCTAAACACATGCCCAGCCCAGTCCCAAACAGCTCCGGCTAACAACTCATCCCAGAATATGCCAAACGACGCCAGCCAGAGCTTCACCGCATGCCTCGCGTGAGCAATGCCATCGGGGTCACGCGCCGCTACTCTCAACATCCATCCAACCAAAGTCACTTGCAACACCCTGAGTCTCCGGAATGCTGTTTGTGTGGGTGCCACAATGCACAGCAACCACCGAATGGACGAGGTCACCAAGGACTCAAACATGCTAAGCTTGCGCTGCCTCGACACATGGGGATGTTTCAAAAGCGCCGCATTGGTTGCAAAGGCCGCCATCGCTCTTCGAAGCAACTGATCAATCTGGTGAGCGTCGCCGGTAGATACCTGGAGGATCATCCCCACAAAGCGGGCATCAGAGACATGCTGAAGTAACGGCAAGCATTCCAAGCTTCTGGGAGCCTGCAGGCCAAGGGTGCATGTCTTGCGTGTATTCAACTTCAAGCCAAGTCGAGCCAAGGTTGCAACCACACATGGCATCAATCTGCAATACTGCGCCGAGGCAGAGAAAAAACACGTGGCGTCATCAACAAACCATAAGCCCCACAGACTGAAAGCCGCAGCGACGAAACGAAAGAGGGAGTTTCCCCATTTTTCTCCCATTCCTCTGTTATCACATCATAGGTGTCAGCCACGCAGTAGCTGAACAACACTGGAGAGTGTGTAGCACCCTGCTGCGTTCCAACCCTCTGTAAAGTCACCCACTCCTCCTGCAAGAAATGGAAGCAGAGGCTGCCAGATGAGAGTACACACGCCAGAAGTAGAAGGGATCGTCCTACGTCAGGGCGCCACCTCCTAAGCATCCACGACACAAGCGCACTTATTTTCAAGCTGTCATACGCCCCTGAGATATCAAGCTTCACAACAACGACAGGAGCACCAACTGTAGCCACTTCCTGCAACGCAACACTGGCAAGGAAAGCTGCATCAGCAACCCCTTTCCCCTTGACACTGCCAAGGCAACTCTTCGGAGCAGGCCAGACAAGCAACAATCTGCGAGTGCAAAGCTTTGTCAACACTTTCAAAACTACTTCTCCCAGTACTATCGGCCTCAGCATGCTAGCATCATTGACCCTGGGCTTCTTTGGCAACAGGACAACCCAACCCACGAGCAAGCCAGTGTTGCACAGCTCCTCTGGCGCCTCCAACATGTCATTGAACACGGAGGCCAGTCCACGCACGCCTTGAGGACTCTGAGCAATACACTGCAGCAACTCCACACTAACCTTCGAGATACCTGTAGTCTTGCCCATCTTCATCGACTGGAGGCAATCCTGAACTTCATCCTCGCTGAAAGGTTGCTCATCGGCATGCAGACCACGAAATAAAGCAGGCACATCCACCCCATCCTCAGGCAAGGAAAATTTCTGGTCAAAGAAGTTCTTAACCTCCTGGGCCACTCGCATCGTATTTCCGTGGTGAAGGACAACCATCGGCCACAGCGCCGACTGCAAGGACTGCTTTTTCAGCAAAAGCCTCCGAGCACGCCAGTTGCCTGACGCCGCTTGGTGCACCAGCCATGCCCTCCACTTCGCCTTCGCCTCCTGCGTGGACACGGCAATTTCGAAGGAAAGTTGTTTGCGAACAGCTGGATCGGGACATGCAGAGCGGCTGCGACAGAGGGCACGCACTTGGAGCAGGATCTTTATAGCGGAGACTGCTGCGAGGGCTCGATGCCACAGCAGCGAGGTCTTGCAACCGCCGCAGCTTCTGATGCAGGGGCCCGTCTGTCCGAAGTTCATGAGTCCAGCACTGGACAGCCTCCGGGTTTGTCACCACCATCTTTCTAGGCATGCGGGACCACAACTGCCGCCGCCTGACTGCAACCAAGGGATCCTTTGTTGCATTCATGAGGGTTTCAGCAATCACACACGCATGGTCAACTCCCAACATCTGTTGCACATCAAGCCGAACTGTATAGTCTGCCCACGGAGCGGCCCCATCCTCGCCAACAGTGGCCGCTTGGTTACAATATGCATTGTTGCAAAGAACATAGTCAATCGCTCTATGGCGCCATGTAGATCCCCTGTTATTCGAAAGGACTGTTGTGCCCAGGGCCTCAAGCATGCTGCAGACAAGCAAGCCACGATCAGATCCTGTCTCATCGCGGTAAAGGTCAAAGTTGAGATCACCCAACAGGATTACCGGCATCCCTTGCTGCACCTGCTTTGCCACCGAAGTGAGGACGCTCTCACACGCTTGTTGCAAGTCAGACAGTGGCCGGCCAGAATGAGCCAAATGGACATTTTAAAATAGCATCGCTTTGCTCGAACCTTGCAATCTCATGCACGTCGGCTACAATGCTGACGCCAGTTTTGGCATGCTGCAGCAGCATCTTCTCATTGCCATGGAGCTGATTGTTATCAACCTTGCGTGTCACCCTGTTTTCCCCCAAGAAGAATTTCGCCTGGGTCCACGAGCCAACCTCCAGGTTCTGCTTGCCAATGCCGAGCTTCGTAGACAAGAAGTCGGCCAACATAGCGACACCTTTGCCGACCTGACGCAACTCCGGAGGCTTGTCAATGGAGCACCAGAGTGGCGCAGTCATTTTCGAAGCGAGTGTATCCCGCACTTCCATCTGCTGACGACGCTTTTCCGACATGCTCAGGTCAGGGGGGAACTTCAGCACCACCTTGCCAGCAGTAGGACACCTACCGAAAAGACGTATCTCCAACACCTTTGCTGACAGAAGTGCCTCACTCAAAACCCCAGTGAGCTGATCAAGAACGGAGTCTTTTGAGCGACCCTCCTTCCACCCACCCACCACAATGTCAAAAGAAACTTCATCAGGGGGCGGAGCTGCGCGGAACCCGGCATGTGATCCGGGAGATACCGGTGACGTGGGCCGAGACCCTGCAAGGCATCCATTCTCCTGGTTTGGGTTTCCATCATGTCCTCCATGTTCCTACCGAGCTCTGTCTGGCGAGATTCGATGTCCCGGATTTGAGCACTCTGAGCAGCTTGACCCTCATGGAGCACCTGCAAGGACTGGGTCACCGGAGCAAGGTGCAAAGCAAAATTATTCGCCACCGCTGATTGGATCGCCAAGAGCATCTCTTGTTGCATCAGCGCTCCCTGCTTCGCCCGCTTCTGGGGAGATTCATCCCCTTCAGCAACAGAAACGATCTGCAAATCATCAGACATGCCCCACAAGGCACAATGGCACAGCTGATATCTGCTATACCCTCTTCTAGAATGGGGGCCTTGAACCCGAATGCCTTGAGCAGTAGCCTTGAGCCGTAGCCATTTAGGGTTTAGGGTTTAGGGTTTAGGGTTTTTGAGCATCTCAAGGGCGCTGCAGTCTGCCATGTTTTGGTGGTTGGGTTTGCTTGGGATGGCAGCGTGTCTGGAACAAGTTCTGGGTGTGATCACTTGCTGTCGGCGGCACTCGTCCACTCCACTGAAGCAATAATCAATATAATTGCTTCTCCTTAGCCCGGCTTCGGACACGCAACATGCGAATGCAACTGTCTACCATGGTTCCTTCTGAAGCATCACCGCTGCATGCTACCGCATTGGGCGTTGAAAGCTGCCGCACTCTGCTCCACTGCACTCGCAAACAAGCGGCCAAAAACCCGCTGGCGTCGTGACCCCGGCATGGATCTGGCACTTCTTCTGTGAAGCTTGGCACGTAAGTGGGCAAACTTCCCAGATCGCCTTGGCTTGTGCACATGCACGTGGTCGGGATCTGCAGTGCACAGATTCCTGCTACCAGTACATGACTCGTGCCTGCCTGACCTAACGGAGTCAACCGAGTACATCATGCGCAGCGCAACGGCAGCTTGTGGACTCATTCGTCTGCTGGCAAGGGTCGCGTGAATTGCAAAACGTGAGCTGTGTCTCCTGCGCCAGACTGTCTGCTTTCCCTCAGTTCAAGTCCAGAGCCTTCTTTCGTTCGTGGCTTTCGGCCCTACAGCATCTGGATTGAGCACTGCGCACTTGATGTGACTGGACTGCATGCCTTCAGCCTCTTCGTGGGACCACTGTGCCATGGTGTGCAAGTACGCCTCACGAATCCACCGTAAACGGGACATGACGTCATCCGGAGAAAGCTCCTCGTTGACGCAGGTCAGCTCATCATCTTCGCACACGCAGCCCGTTTCCGTGATGCAAGATTCACGGCCTGACGTGTGGGGGGAAGATTAAAGGATGGACCGTTGCGAGCTGCACATCTTAAACCCTAAACCCTAAACATCCCTAAACCCTAAACCCTAAACCCTAAAACCCGGGGCTCTACAGTTTCCATCTTTTGTGTCCTCTCTCAGGGTGCACTTCAGCAACCCCCTCGCGATTCCCTGTGATCTCCAGCGGGTTTTTGCGGTAGAATTCAAGTCGGGATCTTAACCGAAGCGCTTTGAACCCTAAACCCTAAACCCTAAACCCTATAAACCCTAAACCCTAAACCGTGAAGAGTCTTATAGAGCCCTGGGATTGCACAAGATATCAAAAAAAATATCCGGCCAACCGAACCGAGCCCAAACATCAAACAACCCAGGTTCAGAAGGTAGAAGTCGCTGACCTTTTGGGGTAGGACGCGAGAACTCCCTCCCTTTGCAAGACTGCTCTCTGGCTCACGTAGTGACCCCTAAACCCTAAACCCTAAACCCTAACCCTAAACCCTAAACCCTGAACCCTGAACCCTAAACCCTAAACCCTGAACCCTAAACGGCCCTAAACCCTGAACCCTGAACCCTGAACCCTGAACCCTGAACCCTGAACCCTGAACCCTGAACCCTGAACCCTGAACCCTAACCCTAAACAGGTGGGCCAACACAACTCTGGGATCCGCTTCGCTTACGAACCAGGCTCAACGGTCAACCCGACTGTTGCTACTACTTGGGATGTTCCACCTTAAACTAACAGTCCTTAATAGGGATTAAGTACCCCCGATTAGAATCCCTAGTAGCCCTAGTAAGGACTGTTAGTACAAGGGGAACATCCCAAGCCACTACTGCTACAGTTTCATTTGTGGAAACGAACCGCATCGATCGGTGGTGAAGCGGGCCCGGGAAGCTGCACAGTCTTTGCCAGGATGGGCTATTAGGCCCCATAATCCCCCTTTTAAGGGCCTTTTTATGGGGTTATAGGGTATAATAGCCCGTCCTGGTGTGCATGTGCAGGATTATCGCAGCGGAGATATACTTCTGACTGTTCCATCCCCCAATCAAAGTGAGAACGCTGCACATCCGGCCTGATGCGTGAATGCATTTGGCCGCTTCTCCGCAGACTGCTGGGCCTAGGCACACAGGCATCAAAGAGCTTCCAACACAACATCCAACACACCAGTTGGAAAGCCTGAACAGGCCCGGCGATCTCTTGCGACCCCAGCGTCAGGGAGAGTTGATGCTCTGACACCACGTGTCGCCTGGGATGCTGATGGAGCAAGATTCTGCTGTTCGGTCTCTGAGGTTCGGGCTTCGTAGATTTTGAGATTAGGGCTTGGGGCTCGAGATACGGCCTGCGAGTTTCTGAGCTATTGCAATGCCCACCTTGCACTTTTCTACATGGCTAGCTGCATCGGAGTGTTGAACACATCCTATCTATCCGACTCGATTGTCTATCCTGTTGGGATTCCAGACTTGATAACCCCCACCCCGGAACCTCTAAGCCGGACAAGCAGCCTAACTTCGGAAAGCCTAAGCCCCTACTCTAGCAGCCTTAGGCTTCAAAGGAAGGTCTTCCAGAAACACCCGCCGGCATTGTTTTGCACAGCGCTTACGTCGCACTCTGAAGAGAACACATGGTGCAAACCTGACCTAAGAGCCATGTACCCTCAATCCTCCATCCAGTAATCTTTCAAATCGTGCTGGAAGTGTTGGCAAAGGTCCGGCTGAATTACTTGTCCCAAAGATCTTCTTAGCTACTTAGTCGGTTTCTTCTCTCGCCAGTCACTGCTGCAATGCCATGGCTTTACGGAAATAAAGGACCCCCCTAAGATACACCGCCCAAATCGTAAGATTCCCTTATACAAGGGGGCACCAATAAGGTACCCCTAACATCCCAAAGTAGAGGTACCCCCTAATATACTAATCCTTCTTCTAGGAACCCCCAAAATACCATACTCCTTCTCATTGGAACCCTCAAAACACCTTTGGTTTCGGAAACCCCCATGTCTTTGCGACTACCCCGGCGCCTTGCTGATTGGTGCACTCTTGCTCCCAGACGCTGTGACAGGGACAACCTTAGCATCTTCTTGCTCACTGCTTCGCGATCCTGGCTGCCCTAACTCTGCAACATGACCCCAAGCTGATCTGGGGGCCGGCATTTTACGACAGTAGGGGTATACCTCCTTGGGGTCCTTAGTACAAGAGGATCCTACGATTTCAGGATCGTAAGCCCCCACCCCTAAACCCTAAACCCCTAAACCCTAATTAAACCCTAAACCCAAATTTCTGCTCACAATGACTTTGCAAACCAGGCCAAGGGTCGCTTGTCTGCTTCCACGCAGAACTCGTTCTCGGCCAGCCCGTAGCCCCCGGAGCCGTCGCTGCCGGGGTCATCTTGAATGATGTTGCCCGCTTCCTAGGGTTTAGGGTTTAGGGTTTAGGGTTTAGGGTTTAAGGTTTAGGGTTTAGGGTTTAGGGTTTAGGGCTTGGGGTTTGGGGTTTAGGGTTTAGGGTTCTGAGTTAGAGATGACCTCTGGACCGGGTCCTTCACGGGTCGCGTGTTCGGTATAGCACGCTCAGAGCGGTTCAGCCGCAGTTTTCAACAGATCAGTCAGAGCTGCTTTGTTTGCTTGCCTTCAGTCAGCAGCATCAACGTCAGTGCGGCACACCAGCACACGTCTTCTTGTTAGCCCAGGGTCGTCGTATGACAGCTCGGTGCACTTCTTCCTTTGTCAGCAGAAGCCGAGGGCCCAGGGTTGAGGGTTAATGCCGAGCCAGCATTTTGCTTTTGACTCACGCATCCAATCTACGTCAGTTTACCAAATCTAGCGCAGAGCCACCAAGAAATGAACGTGAGCTTGGGATCTGGGCTCCTTTGCATTTCCTGTTTGTCAAACACAGAGCTGAGGAGATCCCTTAAGCTTTCATTCTTTAGTTCTGGTTGCCTCTCGGCAGAGGACAGAGGAAACCTGCCAACAGATTCACGAACGCACTACGAGGGTATACGAACATCCAAGCCGCTGATTCGACTGGCAAAACCTGAGCTCGACAGGGCGTAGGCTGAGAGGCTGTCTCGAGTGAGCAGAGGTGCGTGCACATGGCCACTTGGTAGCGTGTGTCAAAAGAACAGCAGCTACAGCACTTGCTGCTTTGACATCCTGCCCTGCAGATGTCTCTGTCCTATCGAAACTGTCTCTTTGAGGCTCTGAAGATGGCGCTTACAGCGATGCCTCTTCAGAAACGAGGTAAGTTAAATTATGTACGCAACGAATTAATTCTCTGAATGTAAATATGCGCTCGCCCCCCCCCCCCCCGTGGTGGAGGGGGTGGGGTTGCAAAATTTAAACATCATTCTCAAAAACTCAAAGCTGCGGGCTCATAGCTCTAAACAACTCACAATTCTCAGGTTTGAAAAACATCAGAAAGACCACTCTTGGGTCACAACTTTTCTTGGAATTTCGAGCCTGGCTTTTGGAATCTTGGACTTCTAGGCCCGAAAATTCCGGAGGGGGGGGTTCGGGGCTTTTTTGGACTTCGACTCCGGGGGCCTACTAATTTTCGTAAACCCCTCCTTGGTCCTTGATTGACACCTGAATCCTTGATCCAAGCAGCCGGGGACAAGGACCTTGCACCTTGCTGAGGCAGTAGGGGCTGCCGGCCGCGGAAAAACCTTTGCAGGACTGGCATCTCCGGCCAATGTGTCACTGGCGCTTCAAAGCGCCTCCAACCCGAAGCCTTCGTAATTTACACCACTTAATCCCAAAGACCTGACGGGATCAGGACTTTCACTCATCGGAAAGTTCAAGCGTTGTCCTTCATCACTGCTGCTCATAGCTGTTGTCGAACTCCACGCAATCGATCGTCAGTGGTCTAGTGAGAAGTGTCGGTCGCACTTTGGTTTTGTTTGAGCATGTCTGAGCCATATGGAGCTTGCGAAAAAAAGATTCCGGCATCACCATCATCACACGACCCGGGGAATTGCTGCTGGACAGGAAGCTACCACCAAGTTGAAGCAAAACATGTGGGAGCGTGGGGAGCTTCTACTGCGTCAAGGCGCTGGGAAAGTTTAGGATGGTGCAGCAGCCATTGGGGCTGCAAAATGAAAACGCTGCCTTCAAATCCTGCAGCTCTAAATTCTCAGACCCAATACAGCATGCATCTTCGAGTCACTTTGCCGAAAGAATTGGCCATTGTGGGGAGCCGAATGGGCACGGGGATGTGCTGGGCAAATACATGGTGCCACCAAGACATGAGCTTTTGCGTAGCGGGGTGGGTGACTCCGACAGTGGGCAGTTGGCTCACGAGGCGCACTCCCACAGTGCATGGAAACATGGCGAACCTGTCCGCTGTGTTCACGCTACGCACACGCTCCTTATTCTAACATGCGGAAAGCTGGTGCTCGGGCCCTTGGTTTCGGGGACAGTTCAGCTAGCAAACCTGATTGCAATGATTCGCAAATTGCGAGGAAGCCGAGGGGTTAGACACAAAGTCTTCAGAAGGTGTGGATGGGTAGGGGCAGGTGTGTGTTGCCTTGATGTGGTTCTGACCAGCAAGGACGACTGACGAAAGCCCATGCGTGCATGTGGGTATTTCCCACAGTAGGAATACCCCTTTCATACCCGAAAAGAATAGAATGCCCATAAAGGGACCCCCCCTATTTTCGGAAACCCCCCAAATTCTGTCTGTGCGTTCCTGAAAGCATTCTGCTGTTGGGTATATCGCACGGGTTGGTATCCAGGGCTAGCCGAGCTACCGCAGCCATTGCGGTTGTTGTGGCTGGGTACGAGCTTAAAAGATCTCATAGAAGCGGGCTTCAAAAGCCGGTGGTTGGTGGGTCCTTCGCATCAGGAGTCGCACTTCTAGATGATTGTGAGATGTCACATGTAAGGAGAACTAAGTTCAAGTTAAGTGGCGGTTTACTTTTCGTTCATCCAGTCTTCCTTCCCTCCTTCCTGACCTCCGTCCCTCCTGGCTTCCTTCCTTTCCGTTCCCTCCCTCCTTCCTTGGTCCCTCCTCCTTCCTTTCTGCCACCGTAGGTCTTAGGTTTTTACTTGATGCTGATTTTTTGTTGATCAGACGGCCTTTGATGATGAGAAAGTTTTTGTTAAAACTCATCCCGTCCAACTTGCGATGCTGACGGTTTGGGTCCAGAAAGAGCTTTTCCTCATGAGGCCCGCGCAGAGCTCTTCATGTTCTTCGTGGCAAGGGCAGAACCTCATGGCAGCTCTGTATTTCTACTTGGAGGTTTCATGGTACTCATGAACCAATTATAACTGTACTGATAACGGTACGCATAAACCCGTTGGGGCACTTAAAGGCGCATAAGTGGGTTATAAGTGCAGATACAATTGGTTCATGACTACCCTGAACCTCCGAGTAGAAGCCTTAGCCCTGGTGACCCTGGTGGCCCTAAGCCGCAGGTCAATCGGGCCGTCAAAGGTATTCAACCTCGAGCACGACCAAATGACAGCGCACACGCCAACAGTTCTTTCCAAGGCTTTGCTAACGGCGAGGGCTCATTTGCGCTTTCGGTCTAGGTCTATGAGCCTGGGTTATAGGCATTTGGGACGGCAGGACTTCGTATACGGCCGCCCATCTCATGTGAAACCATTCCGAGGCCCAAGCTCCGCTTCAGGGTGGCAAAACTTCTCGGCCGCAAGGCTCCGGTCGGGATACCCTGATGCACGAGCAGTCGGTAGAAGATGGTAGAAGAATACGAGAATAAGGGACCCTAATAAGACACCCAAATAGAAGGCTTCGCTTATGATAAGGACCCCAATAAGGTACCCCTAATTTCGGAAGCCCCCCAACTGCCTTCAAATTACCCAGAGACATAAGACCCAAACAACAAAGCTGTGACCTGAATCCTACACAGCTGGGAAACTGCAGCCCAGGAGAGTGGCGACAAAGAACATCGAAAGACCCTTTTCTTAGGGGCCGAATACCCTAGCCAAAAAAGGTTACGTTTATGCAAGAAACGAATAAATATGTACATATATGCGCGTGCCATCGCGTGCTGATAGGCTATATAACCAGAAAGGTTAAAGGCTACGTACCCAGTTTGCTAGGTTTCCATGAAGTGTACGGGGGCCATGGAAGGGTCCCGCGGCGCAAAGTTCAAGCGCGTTACCGAGCCCTCTCTTTTCAGACCTTGGGGTTTAGGGTTCAGGGCTTGGGGTTTCGGGTTTAGGGTTTAGTGTTTAGGGTGTTCACGCATGACGACATTTCGCAGTCCGTAGGCTCGGACCTTGCTGTTGGCCATCTCAAATATCGCTTATTTTGGGACGCCACCGAACTCTACCACATGGATATGAGCACATTGAAGACCAGCACTTGCGATGCAGAGCACACTTTGGAAACAGATGTTCTTGAAACTGTTTTCAAACTTGTACAGGCGTACCACTTTTCATCCCGGTACTACTGAGTACATCTTGAACACGAAGCCTTTAGGTTCTCTAAATTAGGATGCTGTTTGGGGGGTCCTTTTTAAAGGGTGTCGCCTTATAATGGGTAATTACCCAAAAAGGGACCCTAATTTAAAAAACTACCCCTATGCAAGCGATTCGGCAAGTGATCTCCTAGAGAACACGATCTTCCAGGTCCTGAGTTGTCGTAGGCGGCCCACCAGCATTCCTGAAGTAGATCGCTAGGTGGAGTTAGCATCTCTTGGCTTCTGCTATCTTGAACAAACTTGTGTGGCTGCTAGTCTTTGTGGTTTCAAGATGTCCTTAAGGAGATATTAGTCCCACGGTGTGGGGTGATCTGGTACGGTTACTTCATCCTGGCATAATCATGTGGGCTTATGAATGTGGACTGTGTCAAGGACACGTTGCGCTGTTGTGTAAGCAGAGCAATCGATGCGCGTTCAGTGGCTTGCTGTATGTCTGCTCAAAAGCTCGCAGTGAGGGACGAAAGCTCTGCAACATTGGGCGTTTTTGGTTTCGCCTCCGCTGCCCGCACTCAGAGCGCCGCCTTCCATTTTTCGGCTGTGGGGTGAAGATATCACGACATATCATGACCATCATTGGTCTCCTGCCCCCCTCCCCCTGGTGCGCACATCATTGGGTCCTCTAACCTCTACGGCCCTTTGCTACTAGCTAGGGCCCATCGTCAACTCGCTAAACCCTGCCAAACCAAACGCTGAGGGTCCTTCTCGCCAGACGGGCACCAAAAAGGACAGTCTTTGTCCTTGTGGAAGCACCTTTGCGTGCCTGATGTGCTGCGCGGACACTGTTTGGATGCATCCCGCTGTAAACTGCAGTAGCGGCTAGGGGGCGCATTAAGATGTTAACGTGACGCAGCGCAGTAGCGGCTTCGATCCCCAAGAAGACCGAGGACAATGTGGACCCTTCGTTTTGATTGACCGCAAGTAGGCTTGCTGTTGGCAGAAACAATTCTTGAGAGAGCTCCAAAACCGTAGCCAGAAGATGAAACGCTGGGGGTGGCCTTATACTGCGCTGGCAAACAGCATTCGGACGTGAAAGCCAAAGCAACTAAAGCCATATCCTGCCGGACTACAGGATAGTTTGAGTCCGCAATATGGACATTATTGCACACGGAGTGCCTTGGGTGTCCATGACGCATGGCTTCTCCCACCTCGGCAAACAAAATTGTCTTGGCATCATAAACATGCACGCACATGCCTCACGCTGAAACTCAAACATCCTGTCCAACTTGGCACACTAACAGAAACAGGAAGCAGTTGTCTCCACATCATCACAGCCAGCGTCAGCACTTGAAGATGATGATGATGAGGATGATGTCTCTCGCGTTAGCACAATGCCTATTTCCACCATTGTCATCATCTGCATCAAATTCGCATAAGGTGTTGCATGCCAGAAGCCAAGCCGATGACAGCTGCAATGCGGGGAGTTTGTCACATTTTCAAGATTCCAACACCAATTCAAGAAAATCCCCCCTTGTCCAAGTTTGTTGCAGCCTCTCTTTCGCGCCCAAGCTTGTTTCAGAGCCAATGGGCACCAAACCTCGACGACATAATTACAATTACGAAATTGTCACATCGCGTGCTCCATCAACCTTCCATGACAAAACCGGATGGACACAACTCTGTACACAGCCCTATATACAACGTCGGAAGCCCTGTAGATCCTGCATGTCGGCAACTAATCCTTCGAACCGGCGGCTGCTCGTTGCACGGGCACGGACTCCCGACAGCCACGCAAACTTCGCCCGGATCGTTCTCAGCATCAGCGTGAGGCTTCATGGTGCGCGTGTAGGCTTCGGATAGGATTTCGAATGGACAGCTCAGCTACAAGATACCGGTCGTTATGACAGTTCGGGGTGAGTCACTCTTTCCACATTCGCACCCGATGACACCTGGCTCACAAGCCGCAATCGTCCTTGGCCGGATGCTAAGCATGGTCCGATTCTGTCGCCAAGGCTCCCCGGTCAACTGCCCCGACCTCGGCATTGAATTGGCTACTTTCCGTGAAGATTGGCTTGCTTATGGCGTACAGCCCTCTGACGCCACTCACAACCGGCGCAAGATGGCCGCAAGGCCCCCAGCAAAGCCCCCCCGCCCGTCTGGTGGAGTCCAGCTGGCGCATCATAGTCCTTGATGAAGCATCTCCGCTCAGAGCCTTAATTTCGTATGTCTCTTTGCATCATGTGGGGGGTTCTTTGTGAGATGATGTGCTGTTGCATGTGTGTGTGTGGTGACAATGTTTACATTTACGGGGGCTGACCAAAGCAGAACTCTCCGCAACCTACAGATTGGCTTTCGTCACCACTTTTGTGAGGCCCGTTGACTCTCCATGTGGTCCCCAAGCCCTGTCTCAGCTTTACATGGGCACAACATGGCAGAAGGACAACTCGCAGCCCGCACCCAGCCAAAAAATGAGATGAAACAAAAAAGAAGTCAGAGACCGGCCACCCCGTCATCACCCGTCTCTCTCTGTGTGAGGCGCCGACAGGGCCTAAACTAAACTACTTGAAGCAATCTTGGGCTTGCTTCACAGCTGCCGGTGCACAATGGCGGGCAGAAGGGAGGTCGATCGTCACACCAGGCCCCAGCCGAGTCCTGCAGGCAAATGGATAAAAGCCCGTTGGCGCTGACTAAGGGCATCCCTATGTTGCCCGATCACCAAAAGCCACAGGATAGCCGCATGAAACTGTTTGGGGGTTCCCCTGTGACCCCCTTTTGCAGCCCTTCTGCTGAGGGCTTGAGAGTGCTTGAGGCTGCTATAGGCCGCTAGAATCTGCTAGAACCCCGTCCTTGATGCATTGATGCACACACACACACCACACCACAAAACCCACAAGCCCTGAACCTTTGAAAATTTTACTTGGTGGACCATCTGAACAGTCAACAGCTGCCTCGCATCGCATGGAACCCGAGGGGCACACGATGCCGAAGGGGTCTTAGTTGCGCTGCTTCTTATTAATCAGATTCAGCAAGTTCAACAAGACCGAACCAGAATATAGAGGCCATGTAGCAAGAACCTGGCTCAGAAGCTATACAGTGACATGTGCACTTAGCCCTCTGGCTAAGCTGGCCTAGACACATCTGCAAGTTGCCTGCCAAGTCGCCGTACGCCTTGGGTCCAAAGAGCTGGACTCATTCGCATGGCAAGCAACATGCGCATGTTGAACGCAATCGCACGCACTGCGTGACTCGGCCCGCACCAGTTCTGGAGCAGTCGTAACTCCCTGAACCCTGAAAGCAGGGCATATATATTCTGCACTGAAGGTTCTCCCAAGCGCGGCAGAACAGCCACGACTCTTCGAATGAGGCTCGGTTGTCGTCGTGGTCGTCGTTTGTCCCAGGCAGATTTTCCAACCGCTCTCTCGGTTGCCATCGCCATCCTGGCATGCGACTTGTGGAATGGCTCTACAGCTCGCGCTCTGCCCCTCCCACGAATAAGCCCATGAATCACCCCATGGTTGCTGCGGCCCCGCGTCTGCCAGCCACGTGATGGTTCCCTGTGGAACCACCCCATCCAAGCCTGATCTTGGCATGTGCCCTAGCACCGAAATGATGCACTTTCGAAATTTGCCTATGGACTCTCAATGACTCTCAATACTTAGTCACTAGTACATGGTACTTACTACGTAGCGAATTAGAAATTAGGAAGTGGTCATTAGAAATTAGACCCGATTAAAGGAGCCTTCCAGCCAGAAAGGATCCGGAGAGTTTCAGGTTTGCTGAGCGTGTCTTGGTTGCCGGTAACCTGGGGGAAATGAAAGGTTAACCTTTGGGATTACAAGGGGAGTATATTACCCCAAAAAGGTTAAAGGCTACCTACTCTACTACTAAGGTGTAAGTGGGACCGGTCCCGGCTGGTGCTGCCAAAGGTGCCGGTGGGGCTGCCCCCAGCGTAGGAAACATCGTTGACCTCAGTTGTGTCTGCATTTGCAACACAAAGCCGTGCTTGTGCCGGGGTTTAGGGTTGAGGGTTTCCAATGTTCCAACTGGCCTCTTCGCAAGTCCGAGCGGCCACCAGAATATCGGAGTCCAGTTCCGTGTTGAAGGCCACGACTTGCAGGGGTCTCTGATTGCCAGGGTTGACCTCCAAGGTACTTGGAGTTTTTTGCAAAAATCTCAAAGTTTGCCAGCTTGAAGAGCATTGGCTGCTGCTTTCGGGGGTTCTAGTGGTTCTGTCATAAAGCCTGTAAAGCCTGGTCCTAAGTCTTGGGGAGAGACTTGGGAGAGAGAGAGAGAGAGTTGGCGTAGACTGCAGGCGAGGCCTCTTACCCCCATCACTGAAAAGGGGACCGCTTGGCACTTAAGACGATGCACGGCCCGGAGCTAGTCCGAGCCCCTGTCATGAGAAACCCGGCGCTTGCGAGCCGTGTGCCATAATTATGCCTTTTGCTAACTCCATGAGCTGTCAAAGGCGCTTGTCTGGAAGGGGAGACCAACAGCATAGCATGACCCTTGCAAGGCCACAAGGGCCCACCTCGATTGAACACGCATCGGCTTCCGGGTAGAACTCAGGGTAGTTGGTGCTACTGATGCAGCCATCGGGGCTGAAGCGGCAAGACCTTAGCACTCGGAACTTTGGAATCTGGATCCGATCTAGTGGATTCTCAAGACTTCATTCGGCAAAGGTTCAGGCGTCGTTCACAGTTGCGACCAGGGGGTTTCGCAGGGGTTTCGCTTGGTCGTATCAGACTTGCCAATTAATTGTGGGGTTTCTTTGCCCCAAACATGACTGGTAAGCGACCTTGGCTGCTCTGTGGGAAATCCACATGTTGCGCAGATGACGAGGTAAAACGCACCAAAAGGTCATTCAAGATTCTCAACGTGGACGAATCTCAGCTTAAAGCCTTGGTCACTCTCAGCCCCAGGCCCCTGCTTTCGCCAGCCGGATCGTGGCCACGCCTGCAAGCCCTTACTACTTGTCCGCAAATGCCCGGGCTGCTTTAACGTGCTATTCTCTATATATATATATATATACATAAATATAGATGTATATATATATATATACTATATTATAATCTAATATGATAAAAAAATAGACAGCTGTTGTCAATAACAACAGTCGACACGAACTCGTCCAAACACCGTGAGGAGTGCCGTGCTTCAGTTGTCAAGGAATGAAACAACGATCATGGGCGCGGCTATTCAAGAACGCACGGTTTGACTATATTTAAAGGGGCCTTTTGCACCACAGTTGATGGTTTACAGACTTGGAAAGGAAGGTGAATAAATGAGTTCAGTCAACGAGATGAACGCATTCATTGCATTCATGAGATATTTGTTTTATTATGTTTTATTACTTTCTCGTGCCTGTAGATTAAGAGCCCCCGATGAAAATAGTAATCGTGTTTTCACATACAGCTCATAATCCCCCCTCCCACCGCCTACGCGTCTGCTGTCTGCCCACCACACCTGTCTCGCCTACAGTAACTGCAGGGACGCCTTGGGGGCCTCCTGGGTCTCAAAAGCCCGGATATTTGGGAGCAAAGCCGTCATGCACAAATTATCTACGCCCATGACGCCCCTAAACTATTGACTATTGATGACGTCTCTTTGCAATACTCACGACAGGCCCCTCTAGCCTCCACCCGCCCCACCCCGACCCTGGCGAGGTCTTCTGCCCTGGCACGGCGTTCCCCCTACCCCCTGCTAACCTAGTAAATGTCTCCCTCTGTCTGGAGAACCCTTTCACGCACAGGTCTCCCTTCTAACTATTTCTTGATCCTTGGCACGCAGGTGTGTACACACACACACACACGCAAACAAACAACGACGGCTGGTAACCTGCCTGAAATCCAGCCAAGGAGCGAGCAGACGGACCAACATACAAGCCACCCTTGCAACCTTTCTACAGTGCACCTGCAATGCTAATAATGTTAAAAATATTCAAATAATCATAAGAACAATAATCAATACATATATAATATATGTATATATATATATATGTATGTATACATATGGGTAATATAATAAATTGTAGGTATGTTGCCATTACCAGGTCCTTCCAAAACCCGCCCTGGCACCTGCCAGAATGTGGTGGAAGTGGTGGTGGCTGTCACGGTGGGCAGAACCTTGCACCCGCACAATCCGAAGCCTACTTTTTTTATCATCCCAGGAGATCTCAGGTCTTGCAGTGCTCACTGCTTGGGACGAACATCATTTCCCTGCCTCGAGGCATATCTTCCAGCCACTGAAAGACTGGGTGCTGAGCTCACTGACCTTCCGCTGGGCGGCACCGTGGGCTGTATCGCGGGCACTGTGGCTCTTGGAATACGTATATATGCTATATAGTGGTGCCCCGTGTCTTCTTCCCACTTGCAATGAGATGCTTCAGTACCTGTAGCCCTAGCAGTTGCCAGCCCTTGACATTTGGCCATTACTGCGTGGCTGGAACGCGCAAGAAGCCCTTATCTCACCGTCTGCACATCTGATCTCGACACCCGCATCTCAGCCAAGTCACACCTCTCCACTCAATCTTCCCCAAGGGCAAGCGCCAGAGCCCCGTCTCATAGACCTTACGACCGTCCACCTTGGCTGCAAACTTCAAGGGCGCACTTTCGGCTCTGCAGCTCTCTGCAGCTGTCGCGGATGCGAGAATGCTCAAGTACGATGTGGAGCGTTCACAGGGGTAGATTCCGGGTGGATATTTGGCAGGCTTTCCAGGATTCTAGGCTCGGAGCTATTAGGCTTTTTGGCAGTCGGGTGGGGTTGTGCTTCACCCCCCAACACTTGAGCAACGCGCCCAAGGTACAAGCAGCTCGGACCCGTCCCCGTCCTTGGTACAGCATCAGCTCATTCAAGCTTGCTCATCCAGCTTCTCGAGCAATCGTTACAAGATTTCGTCCTCTCAAAAGCACCCAAGTGTCGACGCTGAACCGCGCCACTTGCACGCCCTTCCAGTCGCCAAGGCCTTCCCTCGCCTCAGTTTTGAGGGCTGCTAGCTTAAGAGCCTTCTGCATGCTTTGAGTACTGAGACCACAGCGCTGCAGCATGAACTTGTTTTGTGTTTTGTCGCAGGTGCGCTGGCACCGCTGGAATGAGCCTGGCTGCGTGAATTCTGCATTCCTCGTAGTGGTCTGGGTAGTCCGTGCTGGTGATGCAGCCATCTTCGTCCATCACACAGGGCCTGTGAAGGCACAGTTCGCTCTTGGTGCATTCACGAAGCCTGCGGCTACACAGTTGCAGCATGCACGTGCTGACAATGCGAACAAAACTTAATCCGGGACCGTACGGCCGCCAAGTTCTAAAGCCGCACGAACCCGAACGCAACACGCTCAACTCAGCGGTGAAATTCGTAGGGGGGCGGCCCGGACACGATTTCCCATTCAGGCACCTGCGGCACGAGACTTGCGTATCAGGGGCATGCACATGGGCATGCGAACTGAGTTTCGGTAGGTATTCTCGGAATGTTTCTACCCTAAACCCTAAACCCTAAACCCTAAACCCTAAACCCTAAACCCTAAACCCTAAACCCTAAAGCCCTCAGCCCGGACTCTTGAAGTGAATAAGCAAGTAGATAGTACAAGATGCTTATCCTGCCTGCACAGTTAGGGGCATCAATTTGCGTTGTCGGATGGCCATTATTTTGGATCTCACATTACAACTCACAGAAAAAAGAAGAGAAAACCTACGAGTAAAGGCGCAGGCTTTGCAGAATGAAGAGGCTTAGTCTCTTAGAACATGATGAAGCTATGGCCATCTATGGCTGACCCCCGAAGGCCTGCTTCATGGTCTTCAAAGCACTTTACTATCACTTATATGGGGGTTTTCCGAAGTTAGGGGTACCTTACTGGGTCCCTTACTTTAAGGGAATCCTACTATTTCGGGGACACTATTGGGGTCCCTTGTTCCGTAAACCCCCGAATCTCTTAATGCTGGTCAACACCGGTCACAGCTGTCGAGTTCTGGAGATGCTGTCCTGAAAGCATTGCGAAGAACCATCGGTTCTGCACGATTACGAAAGATTATGAAGTATCCGCTACTTTCGCAACGTCCATCAGGAGTGCGGACTCATCCTTTCGATGTCATTATCATGTGCCCCGGAGTCTCAGTCCCTTGCTTTTCCTGTCGAAGGTCGCCGAAAGCTCCACCCGACGCGAAAAGCTCTCAATCCCTCAAGGATGCGCGGCCGTCATCGCCGAACTTCTGATTTCGAAGCATTTGTGTTGAAGCTGGCAAGCTTGATACGTCCACGAATGCCCATGACATTGACTCTGTGGGATACCTGAGAGCTGGTGCAGTGTCTGATGAGATTGCTGTGCCTGTACCTGTGACGGGTTCACGGGGCTTGACGGGCAGGGTCTTGTTGTACCCAACGACGCTGGCTGAGATCTGGGGATCTGCAGATGTTGCTAGATGTTTTCTTGTTTCTGCAGTGTCTCGAGGCGGATTTTGGCTTTGTCATTCGCTGCCTTGGTGCCGCGCAACTGAGGCGAGCCACAAACTTCCACGTCTACCCGAAATTGACCTGCGATCCAGTCTTGTCACGTCTGTCTCGTGTGACGAGCGTAGCTTTGACGGAGTGTCGCGAGCGCAAAGCAGCGATAACATGGAGGAACCTGCTGCAGCACTAGGCGCCGAGGGATTTAGATCTACTGCACAAGGGCCCAACTGCAGTGTCGTGCATTCCCCGAAAGCCTTGACCTGGTACCGTTGGACGCTGGGATTGCCCCTATGACATCGTCTGCATCATGGGGTATTGCGACCCGAATCTGCATGCCCCTTCGAAGTCGCAGTTCAACAATCCGAGCAATGCCCGACGGTGCCTCATAAGCTCAGGATTGCGGCATTTCATCGACACAGTATGTGCATGACATGCCTCTCTTCAAGGAGAAACTTGCAAACGCCAGCTGGGGGGCAACGCATACATCCTCGGGGATGTCGCCCTGACACACCTACTCAGTTTCCACGTGTCAAGGCACGCCTTGTTCCAAGGCAGATCGCGGCATGAGTCGGAAGTTGCTTACACCTTCTCTCCGTCTCCCACCCCGTGCCCCCAAGTGCCGATCAGACTGTTGCCGTGGCCCCGGTATCGTGATTACCCTAAAGGAAGAAAACAATAGAATCAACAGACTGCCTGTCACAGTTCAGTTCGATTGTCAGCTTGTTCCGACTAAGCCACGCAGCGCCATGCAGCGGATAGTTTCCAAGACTTTTAACCGCACTGTGTGGACTGTGCCTATGGGAGCGCAACACGCCAGCGTCGAGTGCTGCGAATCGACACATTCTCAAGCCTCGAATACAAGTCATGTACAGCATTTGGTTTACAGAAGTCTTGTACAGCACCAACATTATGCTGTTGGGCCGGTGGGTGTTTATATAGTAGCCATGGCGGCTGCAAAAGTTTAGACTAGATCACAGTGCCAACAGATCAAGTATCCCTTGGAGCGGCGGCCTCCTCTGGACAAAGTACCCAGCCTTCACCGGTCGATTCCGATTCAGCCTTGGTTTTCGATTCTTCTGTCAACTTGAGAGTTTCTGAGATTTTCCGGGGTACCTTATTGGGGTCCTTGTTATCAGGGAATCTTCTGAGATTAGGGGGTACCTTATTGGGGTCCTTGTTATCAGGGAATCCTACTATTTGAAGAACTTGTTTTGGGGGTCCCCTATTTTCGTAAGCCCCCACTTCCATGATTGCTGGGATTGCTGCGGAAAGCAGGGGCCTTGAAGCGCCAAGGGTTTAGGGATCCTTCCCATGTCATGCTGCTTGACCGCGTGAGCATCTGAAGCTTGGGGCTCATGGACTGCGAAGCCTATAAGAAGTTGTATTAAAGGATGTGGAGAAGCTTTCAGGGTCTAGGGTTTGGGGTTTAGGGTGCTCATGCTCCATAGGATTCGGATTGAATCCAAAAGGCCGGTTCCCCACTGCCATGGCACAGAACCTGTTTACTTGTAACAATCCATGAACACCCAGACGCAGCCACACAGGCCCTTCCTGACTTTGGGACCAAGGAGCGTCCACAGACCAGGTGATGGATCCCTGTGGTATCACTCCATCCGGTCGATCCTGACGCTTCGGAAAGTCTTAGGCCGAACTTGCCCATGGCTCCGCCCTACTCCCCCTTGATGTGCCTTACTGTAGATTGATGTTAAATCGCGACCCTAACCTTAAGAGCGATTTGCCGAAATCAGCTCATGAGAGATGCGGGGAAGGGAGTTCGCTTTTCTGACGCGGCACCACTGCTCATGGCGCACTCTTCACGCAAAAACTAAGAACTTCCGTGCCGTCAAGAAGACAATTCCTACGCCTGGCTGCCAAAGCACCGAGTAATAGGTGCTGTACTCGAGTCCATTGACCACCTGGCCCAAGCATCGGGAAAGCAAACACCAACCCTAAACCCTAAACCCAAAAGCCTAAACCCTAAACCCTTTTTGTTTACGGCTTGGACTGCTGCACGCCTGCCTGGGACGAAAACCATGCCACTCCAAAAACCCTAAACCCTAAACCCTAAACCCTAAACCCTAAACCCTAAACCCTAAACCCTAAACCCTAGGCCCTAAACCCTAAACCCTAAACCCTAAACCCTAAACCCTAAACCCTAAACCCTAAACCCTAAACCCTAAACCCTAAACCCTAAGCCGCAGCAGCTTACTGCGGACCAGGCCACCAAGGTCGCCCCTTCTCGGAGATCCCACGTCTTGAATCTGAGCCTCTGCAAGCACTGGTTTTAGGATTTAAGTAGTAGTAGTAGTAGTAGTAGTAGTAGTAGTAGTAGTAGTAGTAGTAGTAGTAGTAGTAGTAGTAGTAGGAGGTTTTAGGGTTTAGGGTTTGGGGTTTAGGGCTAGGGTTTGAGGTTATGATGTTCCAAGTGAGGGTTCCTTATCTGCAGGGAAGGGAGGCACAGTCACGCGACAGAGCTTGTGGCGCTCGGCCGGCAAACACTCGCAGCAAGCGAAATGGCAAAGGGCTGCAGCTTAAATCTGTCTATAGTGTATTCGCGTGTTCCCGCGTGGGTACGTGCGGTGTCGGTCGGTGTGTGTGTGTGTGTGTTGTGTGTTGTGTGTTGTGTGTTGTGTGTTGTGTGTTGTGTGTTGTGTGTTGTGTGTTGTGTGTTGTGTGTTGTGTGTTGTGTGTTGTGTGTTGTGTGTGGTGTGTTGTGTGTTGTGTGTTGTGTGTTGTGTGTTGTGTGTTGTGTGTTGTGTGTTGTGTGTTGTGTGTTGTGTGTTGTGTGTTGTGTGTTGTGTGTTGTGTGTTGTGTGTTGTGTGTTGTGTGTTGTGTGATGTGTGTTGTGTGTTGTGTGTTGTGTGTTGTGTGTTGTGTGTTGTGTGTTG